TCAACACCAGCCTAGACCACACAGCAAGACCCAGCCTCAAAAAGCAGAACAAAACAAATCAAGGGAGTCAGAGGCCCTTGGGGAAGAAAGGGGACCCCCTCCATTGTGCTCCACGGGGACTAGAACAAGCGCACCTTTGCCACCGTGGTCAGAGGTCAGCCTGGCAGCCTTCGTGGATGGGTGTGGGGGTGGCGGGAATCCAGGTGCCCCCCCGCCCCGTAACTGGTACCTGGCTGGGGAGGCACCCGTTTACACAGGCCATCCCGGAATGTGGCGGGACAGGCCCCAGGTCCCTGAGTCAGGACCCAAGGGCGTCAGGCCAGGAGGGGAGGGCCGTCCTCTGCAGCTGGCATCGGCCTGGCCCTGTGGTGCGGTGCGGAGGGGGTGGGCATGGCAACACAACAATCCTCACCCCCACTGCCCAGTCCAGCCTTCAGTGACCCCACAAGTCTACCTCAAAGCCATCCTTCCCCTTTCCCTCCCCATGTAGCAGCCCTAGGGCTCTTTGCACAACACAAACCAGGGGACATCCCCTCCCTTCCTCGAATCCCCACCATGGCTCCCTGGTGCCCTCAGCATAAAGACCTGCACCTCCTCTCACAGTGGGAGGGTGGAGGTTGCCTCTCCTGACACCTGGAGAGACTCCTGCCTGCCTCCCAGGCCCTGTGAACCCCAGGATATGTCTGGGATGGAGGGTAGGGGTCAAATCATCAGGGGGGTCCCCTTTTTCTGTTTTCGTAGGACTGGGGATTAAACCCAGGGTCATCGCACTGAGCTCCAGCCCCAGCCTTTTCTTTTTCTTTCTTAAATTTTGAAATGGGATCTGGCTAAGCTCCCAGGTTGTCCAGGCTGAGCTTGAACTATTTTTTTTTTTTTTTTTTTGGCACTGGGGATGAAACTCAGGACCATGAACTTTCGAGGCAGGAGCTGGAACCACTGTGCTAAACCCCCGGCCCTGAGCTTGAACTTGTGATCCTCCAGCCTCAGCCTTCTAGAGTGCTGGGATGACAGGCATGGGCCACTGTGCCCAGCTTCCCTCCTCTATTACACTTGTACCTGGGAGCGTCAATAAGTCAGGATCAATTGCTGAAGACTGTGACCAGCCCATGGGAACACCCACTGTCCTTGGCCTTTGTCCATTGTCCTTTTTTTTCATTCTTGGGATGGACCCAGGGCCTCACGCACACCAGACAAGCCCAGTACCATTGCCCAACCACCTGACACCTGCCATGACCAGTGTCTCCTCCTCCTGCTCCGGGAGGATTGTAACAAACCCCCTGCCACCCCACATCTCGGGGGAATCCCAGACCGAAACCAACTCCTTCTAGAAGCCGGGGAAATCAATGAGTGTGTAAATCCCAGCCCCCAGCTACAGGGTGATCGTGGGGCACCTAGGCATCTTGGCACTGGGTCCCCTTCCACAGGAGTCCACATGGAGTGAGAAGCCTGCAGGAGCCAGCCATGGTAATGCACGCCTCTCCTCCCAGTACTCTGGGAGGCTGAGGCAGGAGGATTGAAAGTTTGAGCTCAGCCTGGACAACTTGAGGGCTTAGCCAGACCCTGTCTCAAAATTAAAAAGGGCTAGGTCTGGAGCTCAGTGTGAAGGCCCTGGGTTCAATGTCCGGAAACACCCCCGGACACACACACACACACAAACACACACACAAAATAAAAAATAAAAGAAGACCCTGCTGTGCGGCAGCCCCCACCCTGCAGGCCTAAGATCCTGAATGGTGGAATGATCTCAGGGTACCTGCCAGCCACACCCCTTCTCTCTCTTGCCTGGGCTTCTGAACAGGAGAGAGAAGCAGGTGGAGTGTGTGTGAGGGGGTTGTTCACAACTCAGGAGACCTCAAAGGGACCGGCTTTGGAGATAAAGGAAAGGGAAGTCATAAACCCAATGCCAGCCCCTGCCTGAACAAACCTGGCTGGGTCCCTCCTGGGTCGCTTCACCAAGCTGCTGCCCCTTTCTCCTGCCCTGTCTCCACATCCCACTTCCTGTTGTTCACCAGAAATGGGCTCTAGCACCGGGCCTCAAGGAGAGCACACAGTAGGTGTGGCAGGAATGAGTGAAGGCCAGGGCCACAGGTGGAGAGGCTCTGGGCCCCGGAGAACAAAGGCTGCAGTCAGGCAGGCGCAGGCGGCTGCTGTGGGCCACTCTCCAGGGGCGCTGGCACCAGCCGCTGGCACCCTGTCTCCCCGCCAGGGCCCTGTGGGGTGTGCCCCGGGCACAGGGCTGGGCAGAGGTGGTGGTGAGTGGGGGCCCTTGGGCTGTTCCGCCCAGCCGGTGACTCAGCCCTGAGCTGGCCCTCCCCCGGGAGGACAGTGGGGACTTGTGGGTTCCGGGAGGGCTTTCTGGCAGGTTCCAGGCCCAGCCAAGGTGAAGCAGGCCCCGAGGCCAGGGCAGAGAAGACCTTGGAGCCTCAGTCTGGTCTGCATTTTGGAGTCCAGTGCTTGGGTACCAGCACCTGAGGGCCAGGGCAGGTCTGCAAAGAGCCCCATGTGGGACCCATGGAGGCAGGGGCCCTGGAGCACCGCACTTGCCTTGGAAGACAGGGACTGGACAGGTCAGGGTCACCAGGGTCCCAGTGCCCAGCACACACCCTGCTACGCTGTTGGCACTCAATAATGGACCCCTAGAAGACAATTTCTTCCCTTCTCTGGGTACAAGTAAAGGGGACCCTAGCTGGGTGTGGTGGTACACGCCGGTCATCTCAGCACTTGGGAGGCTGAGGCAGGAGGATGGCTGAGAGTGGGCTATATAGTGAGTTCAAGGTCAGGCTGGACTACATAATGAGACCCTGTGTCAAAAACAAACCAACAAATAAAATACAAAGGGCATCCTAGGAACACTGGCCCAGACTCTGTGGCTCAGACCCAGGCATGGTGGGCTTGGGTTGGGCTGGGCTCTAGTTGCTTAGTGCTGGAGTCTCCAGCGGCCTCAACTCTGCCCTGGGGTGGGGACAGCCAGCGCTGCCAGGCACCCTCAGAAGGGCTGGGGACTGGGGGTGTGGGGTGGGACCGGAGCTGCTCTGGGGACCCTTGGTCCAGAGACCCAGCTGGACCAGAGGGACACCAGGGGACACAGGTGCTAGGGAAACAGCGTGGCACCTGATGTCTGCTGTGGCTGCACCCTCTAATTTTCCCAATGGGGGAACTGACGCCCAGAAAGTGGCAAGGACCTGCTGAAGGTCTCAAGTTGGGAGGGATTCAAGACTGGCACCTGAACAGCCCAAATCCGGGGCCCGGTCCCCAGATGCCCCTGGATGTGGGGGGCTTTCTGGGCCAGAGTGATCCAAATTGAGGGTGAGCCCAGCTTGGTTGTAGAAGGGGCTAGCAGTTTAATTAGGAGCCCTCTGTGCCCCGCCTCCACCCCAGCACCCCAGTTGCTTGCTTTCTTTTCTTTTTGTATTGGGTATCGAATCCAAGGCCTTCACACTGAGCTACATCCCAAGCCCTTTTTAAAAATTTTGACACAGGATCTCACTAAGTCACTAAATTGCTCTCTAGGATCAGACACGTGGTCTTCCAGCCTCGGCCTCCCAGAGTGCCGAGATTACAGGCGTGTGCGCTTGCACCCGAGGTAGCCCCGCTTCCTGGACTCAGAGCAGCTGGAGGTTCCGACAGGGTGGGAAAAGCGGTCTAGGCAGAGGGCACAGCAGAGGCAAAGGCCTCAGGAGTGGGAATCAGCCTGGCAAAATTCTGGAACAGGTTATGAGGGGAGCTGGGCGTGGTGGCAGACATCTGTGATCCGAGCACTTGGGAGGCTGAGGCAGGAGAAGTGCAGCGAATTCGAATCCAGCCTGAACCATATAGCGAGACCTACTCAATAAATATAAATAAATAAAATAAATGGGAAGGGAGCATGATTTCTCTGGTGGACCTCACAAGCCTTGGCACCTTCATATTCTCATTTATTATTCGTCTGATTCTGTGGGATTTCTGGTTCTGAAAGGCGAGAGAGCTCCTTGGCGTGAGGGGAACGTTTGTCCAAAATGGACAGAGACCACTGAGAATCAGAAAGCCCCCGCCTGGTCTTGGTTCTGTCCAAACCCAGGTCCAAATTCCATTGCACAACGGAGGAAACGGAGAATCAGACAGGGAAAGGCTCGCAGGCTCAAAAGGCTCTCTGACTCCGAAACGAGTCAGTCTCAATTTCTCCGCCAGTGAAATGGGTCTAATGTCGCCTCCTGGCCTTGAACACCCGTTAACAACACATGGGAGGGCTGGCCCTAGAAACTTAGATACAACCAAACGGGCAAGGCCGCTTCGGCGGCCACGCCAACCTGAGAATAAAACCCCAACACCTACTCCACCGCTTCTCGCGGCCTCTTGCTCCGAGGGTCCCGCCTCCGACATGGGGGGGGAAAATGGAGTGGAGCGGCGCCGCATCACGAATGGCTGGAAACCCCGCCAATCAGGTTTCCGAGTCCTCTTATTGGTCATTGCCTCTCTCACTTATATTTCAATAGCATGCTCCTTCCCGCCTGCGTCATGGACGCTGCGCTCAGTGTGTGTTCACCTCCGCGTAGAAACACAGTCCCTGCCTCTTTCCCGTTCTTTCATCGATAGATCTTCACTTAGTGCACCCACCCCTACGCTCTCAGCGCCTCTGAGATGCAAGATACTCCTGCAGGTGCTCGGGAGTCCGAGGCGTGAGGCTGGAGTACGACGCACTCGGGACCGCGCGGACGTGGCGGAGGGATCCTCAATGCGCGTCCGGGCCGGGCACGGAGGGAGGAGCCTGGTAGGGGCGGGGCGTGTGCGGGGCGGGGCCGATGCGGGCTGCGCGGGGCGGGGGGCGGAACATGTCTCCCGCCGCAGGAAGATGAGGCAGCGGCGGCGGCCGCGGGCGTAGCGGGCCGGAGCCGAGCCGGACCCGTCGCGGGCGGCGGGCACCGCGGGGAACCGCAAGCCGCTGCCCCAGCGCCCCGGCCGGCCGCATTAAGAGTGGACGACGCGGCGGCGGCGGGGAAGGGGGGGCTGGGCCACGCGCGCCGCCGCCGCCCACGCGCGACCCTCGGGGACCCGGCCGCGACGCCCCTTTGTCCGGGGGGGGGCCCGTTCATGCCGCCGCCTCCCGCGTGCCGCGTGCCGGGCCGCGCCAAGCAGGTAACGCGCAGGGCCGGGGCGCGCGGCGTCGGGGTGGGGGCCGCGCCCGGGGACCCCCGCGCTTTGTGTAAAGTTGACCCCGGGCCCGCGAGGAGGAGCCGGGGCGGGCGGGCGCGGGGCGCGGGGCGCGGGCGGCATTGTTCTCCCAACTTTGCGCGCCGGAGGGGGGCGCCGACGTGGAGGGGCCCGCGCGCCCCCCGCCGCTCGCACTCGGGAAACTTTGCGCGGCGCGGGGGGCGCAAGAGAGGTCTTCCAACTTTTGCAGCGGGGGGTGGGATCCCTAGCTCCAGCGCGGGAGGGGGTTGTCCCCGGGGCGCCCCCTCCCCAGGGAGGGGCCCGGCCGGGACTAGAGTTTGGAGCCGGAGCGAGGAGGGAGGAGAGGCCTTTTGTCTACGCGGGGAAGGCGCCGCCGCGCGCTCCGCAGGCGCGGAGTGCAGGGCCGGGCCGGGGGGACCCACGGGGACCCGGGGCGGGGTCATCTGCTCCGCGTGAATGCGGGGAGCGGCGGCGTGGGGTCGAGGACACCGCGGGGCGCGGCGAACTTCAAAGGGCTCCCGGGACGCACCGGCTGCTGGGGAACGAGGGGGGGGTCCCCCGATAAAAGACATTTAAGGCTGCGCCCCCTAAAGTGGTTTCAACCCTTACTCAAGCCTGTTCCTAGCTCCCCCAAAGTTCTTATGATACCCCAGAAGTCTTTAGCGTCCCCTCCACAAGCCTGTTTTAACCCTCCCCAACTCAGCCTGAAAATCGGTTTCAGCTACCCCGCAAAAAAGTGCAGTTTCGTACAACTGAAAAAAAAAGTCAGTTTCACACGCTCTCTGAAAAGGAAAAAAAGAAAAAAAAGTAGTAGGGCAGGAGGGGGAGTTGCACCAGGGCTTCTGTTTCACACCCCGGTGTCTGAGTTGGCAACAGGGGTTCCTACGCTTTTGAAGTTGGGGCTCCCTCGCTCTCAGATCCCCTTCCCCTCCCCCAGCCGCTGCGGTTTCTCGGGCCGCCCCCGCCTGGGGAAGCCTGGGAAAAGTTTTTCGGGAGGGAGGCCTAGCTCCTAGTCCTTTCCTGGGGTGGGCTAATGCTGGGCAGGTGGCTTTGCCCCATCCCAGCTCTAGGATGGAGCGTCCCCGCCCCGACCTCCAAGGGAACCCCTGGACCCCCACTTCTCCCAGGGGTGGGAGGAGGCGAGGGATGTTTTTCAAAGTTGTATAAAAATAATTCCCGGATACATTGTGGCAATAAAACAACCTCGCTTTTTTCCTTTTCTGAATTCAGTTGGGCTTTTTGGGGGTGGGCAGGAGGAGGATGGGAGGGGTGGAGGACAGCTTTTCGTGGGGAGAGGGTGCAGGCGGGGCCTCTTCCCTCCCAATTAAGCCCTCCTTTCTGGAAAGGGGCCTTCGCAACTCTTGGATCTGTGAATTTCTTCGGCTTAGGATTTGGGGGTCAGGGGAGTGCTGTGACAGCTGTTGGGGGTCTGCCACATTTCCCTTGGGGCAAGGCCTGGGCCAGCCCTCCCCTGGAGGACCAGTGACTGGTAGGTGTCAGGGACTGAGATTGTGAGCGTCCTGCTTCCAGTTTAAGAAGTGGATCCCAACTCTGGTGGTCGAAGGGGGAGTTGACATTTGTATTCTCCCATTGTTCAGGCTCCCTGTGGGCTCGGGAAGGGGCTCCAGAGAGAATCCCAGCTTCCCTGTGTCCTCCCAGGGCCCCACTTTTCCCAGACCTTTAGCCTCCCTACTCCTCCTTGTCGGCTGGAGCCACAGTTACTCAAATTTCTTTTCTCCTCTCCGTGCTTTTTTGTGTGTGTCTGTCTGCTCCTGCTTCTCCCTGGGTCTGCTCTGTCCCTGTCACCACGCAGGGCTGTTTCTAGGCCTGGGGGGACCCACCCTGGTTCCTGCCAAAGGATGAGCCAGCCCCAGAGGATGGCACCAGTGGGCACCGACAAGGAGCTGAGTGACCTTCTGGACTTCAGCATGGTGAGCCCAGCCCCCCTTCACCCCCACCTCAGCCTGGCCCCCACACTTGGCCCACCCCTCCCCTCCACAGTTCTCTGCAGGATCTTTTGTTTTTAATTTTTAATACTGGGCATCAAACCCAGGGATGTCACATTCAACTGCATCCCTAGTCCTTTTTTATTTTTTATTTTGAGACAAGGTCTCAGTAAATTGCTTGGGCTGGGCTGAAATTTGGATCCTCCTGCCTCAGCCTCCCAGAGTGCTAGGATGACTGGAATGTGCCATCACACCCAGATCTTCTACTCTTTATTTTGCAGTGTGTGCATTCTAGGAAACTGTTCACCACTGTGCTACATCCCCCAGCCTGATGAGCAAGTTTTTAAGGGAAAAGTGATGTCGGCCAAAAGCACCCTGTAGGGGTATCAGGTCCTTAGCTTTTGGAATTGGAGGTCTCCGGGTGGGGCTGGGGGAGTCTGGGTATTTCCATGGCAGTTTTTGCTCAGAATGGTTATAGCCTGCAATTTTACAAATGGGCAAACTGAGGCCCAAGAGAGGAGAGGCTGCCTGCAACTTATCCATGGTGTCTGGGCCTGGAGAATACTCCACCCTGAGGCCCTGGTTGGCTGTGTGAGCAGACGGTGACCTTGGGACTCTGATCTGGAGAATGAGCACAGTCAGGGTCCCCAGCTCCATTGTAGGTGGAAAGAGAAGGCGGGAGTCCTGGTTTGAGCTGACCCACGTTGGGGACCCTTGGTGAGGAGCCAACACATCCCACCCCCTGTAGGCAGAGGATGCAGGAATAATAAGGGTAGTCCCATCTGTCACATGCGATGGCTGCGTGGACTTAGTCACTAGGAGCTCATGCAAGTGAGGGGGCCCTAGAATAGGGGGACATGGCAAGCCCAGGGGCATCGGGCTGCCCTGTCCCGCAACAGCCCATTTCCAGTCATGGACGTGGATGCTCTGCATGCCGGCCCCTGGGGTCACACAGCTCCAATGAACCTGGGGAGGCTGAGAAACTGGAGCACCCATGGGTGCCGGGAAGCGGGGCCCATTGTGGATGCTCCCAGAGCCCTCAGTTTACCTGCTTGTGCAGTGGGGCTCCTTTCGGCTGTCAGAAGGGGTGGTCAGCATTTCCTTGAAAAACCCAAGAATGGTGGTTTTTCCTGCTGACTCGGATGGGAACGATACCTTAGATCCCAGTCCACGCACCCTGGTATGCATCACTGGCCTCTGAAAGGGCCCAGGGCACTTCCAGTCTGAAGGGCACCCTCCCCAGTGTGAGGCACTCAGACCGAAACCCCGCCAGCCACCCTGTGGAAAAACATGGCTGGGCCGGCACTGAGCGGCCACGCTCCGGAAGGGCCACACTGGTATTTTTGAAGCCCTGTTTTATTTTTGCCTCCCCGGCTGAGTAACCAGGGGCACTGGTCGGGTGTTTTTTTGTTAAACTGACAGGTCACAGTCTGTTGGGCTGGAACAGAGCAGCTTGGGGGGGAGAGTTCAGCCTGCAGCCTCCACCATCTCTCCCTCTCCTGCCCAGAGGGTCCCCTGGCTTCCCAGGGCCTAGGTCAGAATTGGTGGCTTGCTATACCAAGGGGAAACTGAGGCCAGCCCTTCCCTGTGACCCCTCTCCAGTGTTACAAGAAGAGACCTTCCTGGTCAAGTCAGGGCCAGAGGCACCCCCCCCCCCCATTCTGTTCAGGTTCCTGCCTGCCTACCCTTCTGCCACCTGCCCCAGGAACAGTGGCCTGAGTTGCTTCTTGGAATCAGGCATTTTGGGCTGAGACAAAATGGGAGAGGAACCACTGATGGTAAACCAGGTTCACATGAAGTAGGAAAAGTAAGACTGTCAAAGTCAACCCAAGGGAGAGCCAGGCGTGGGGGCACACACCTGTAATCCTAGCATTTGGGAGATCGAGGCAGGAGGCTCACTGTGAGTTTAAGGCCAGTCTGGACTACATAGTGAGACCCTGTCTCAAAAACCAAACAAAAATAATGCAAAGGAGAAAGGTCACAATGAAGTCTCCTCAGTGTCTTGACCTCGACCTGAGCTTCCATGGTTAAAAGGGAGAGCAGAAGCCAGGTGGGGTGGTGCATACCTGTCATTCCAGCACTCTGGGAGGCTGAAGCAAGAAGATTGCAAGTTTTACCCTAGCCTGGGCAATTTAGCAAGACCTTGTCTCAAAATAAAAAATAAAAAGAGCTGAGGATGGAGCTCAGTGCGAAGGCCTTGAGTTCCATCCCCACTGCTGCCAAATAAGAGGAATAGAGATGTTAGGGACCGGCTAGCACTGGGCTGGCAGCTGAGTGACACCCTCCATGGGTCTAGGGTGGTTCCTGTGCCCCTGCTGTTGGCACCTAGCACCCCTAGGCAGATGTTGCTCGAGGCCTGTTTGTGGTTTCACAATGTCCCACACTGCCAAAGCTTTTGAGTCCCATTTAGCAGAAGAGGAAACAGAGGCTCTGAGAGGTGTTGTGTCAGGGTGGGCTCAGTTGATCCTAGGGTCTGCAGGGCTCACAGGACACAGCTCAGTGACCCCCCCCTCCCCTGCCGCCAGGTCCGTGTAGCTTCTGCCACCGTGGAGGATTCACAGAGAAGTGGGCTGTGTCTGCTTCCTCAAGGAGTGTGGCGGCCTCAGGCCAGCATCTTCCCCAAAGCTAGCCTCAGTATCCCCAGTGGGAGAGCCTCCCTTCTCAGAGAGCAGGGCCTGGGGAGGCTGGGACAGTTCCCAGTTGATGAATGAGCACCATGGGGTCTGCAAGAGGGGACCCCCAAAAAGAACCTGGCTGCAGCCTTAATCCCTCAGTGTGGGCTCTTGCCACTTCTGGAGAGGAAGTGGGAAGCTTCCCACTTCCTGGGACCCCTGAATCCTGGATATGGATGCTGGCCCTGTTATTTCTGGCTAGCCTGGGGAAGGCCCTGGGGACAGTGGGCCTGCCCTGGCACAGATTCCAGCCTGGTGGCCCCTGGAGCCCTGAGCAGAGTGAACCTCTCAAACCCATCCCTGGGGCAGGGCAGGGACAGGTTTGTTTTTTCTGTGGCAAAAGGGTTTGTTGATGTTGGGACTTTCCGGTTAATGCTCCTCTAAGCTGTTTAATCTTTAGGGACTTAGCGCCCTAGGGATGGGTGAGGGAGAGGGAGGGGGCAGGTGGCGGGTAACAGGCCCACACCCTCAGCCACGGGCAGGGTGCCACCCTCCTGGATCTCCAGCCTCCTTTGGACATCCGGGCTCCATCCCTGCCCTGCTTGCTGCCCTGGGCCTGTTTCCCCTTCTGACTGACAGCCCGCATGGGAGGACTGACCTGTTACCAGCTTCCCTGAACACACAGCTCCCCCCACCCAAGGTGAGGTGGTGGGGACTGAGTCCCTAGCCTCTCCCACCTGTTGAATTTAGCACTTGCTTTCCTAAACTGAGGAGGAGGGAGAATTTTGTGTCACTTTGTATCTGCTGCCTAAAGAGCAACACACATAGCCCCCAAAGCAGGATGAACTTGAACCTCCAGGTCTTTTTTTCTTTTCCAATACTGGGGGTTGAACCTAGGGCCTTCAGGCTGAGCTACATTCCCAGCCCACTTTTATTTTTGAGACCATCTTGGTGATGCCCAGATTGGGCTCAAACTCATGACCTTCCGGGGCCAGGGATTTAGCTGAGTGGTTCTGCCACCTGCCACACAAGCACAAGGTCCCGAGTTCAGTCCCCAGTAACAAAACAAAACCTCATGACCTTCCTGCCTCAGCCTCCCAAGGCACTTGGAATGAAAGGTGTGTGCCACTGGACCTGCCTCCCAGTGTCTTTTTTTGGTGGTGTTTTTGTTGTTGTTGTTGTTTTTTGTTTTTTGCTTTTTTTGACACATGGTCTGTCTATGTAGTGTAAGCTGGGCTTGACTATGTAGCCCAGGCTGGCCTTGAACTTGCAGTAATCCTTCTGCCACAGCCTCCTGAGTCCTGGGATTACAGGCGCATGACATTGTGCCTGATAGGGTCTTAAGGTCATCCTGGACACTGTGGCCATGGGTGGACCAGGCCCTCTTTCCATACTATAAGGGGCATTTCTGCCTTTTCCTGCCCTGGTCAGAGGGTTCCCTAGCTGTACTCTCTTTAGGGAACAGCAGCCTTGGGGTTGGGATTGTGTGTTGGCTGGGGTGGGCTGCACCCGCTCAGACCTTAGTCCCCAGTGTCTCTGAGCTCTGCCGCTGCCTTAGCCCACATGAGGCACCAGGATTGTGGCTTTGGGCTCCTGTCAGACCCCACTCACTGTTGTCCCTCTTTCTATCCCTGCAGATGTTCCCACTGCCCGTGGCCAATGGAAAGGGCCGGCCCACCTCCCTGGCTGGAGCCCAGTTTGGAGGTTCAGGTAGGACCGAGGGTCCCTAGGAGCATTGCAGAGGGGCTACTGTGGGGCTCGGCTCACGTGAAAGAGTGGCCTGGCAGATGAGCCCCACTGATGGCATGGTGTCCCCTTATTCCATCCTGCCAGAGTAGATCTCATCTCCTCGGAAGCCCCATGATTCCTAGGTTCCCTGAGACTCGACTGCTCCTCCCCCACAAACTGGGGATTGAACCTAGGGCTTTTGCTCTGAGTTACACGTTTCACCCTTTTTATTTTTTACTTTAAAGTAAGTTCCCCGGGCTGGGTTCAGGCTTGCAACCCTCCTGCCTCAGTCTCCCAGGACTCTGGGAGATGTGCAGCACCATACCTAGTTTCCTTGGCTGTTTTTGTTGGTGAACGTGTTAGGTGCTTGGTGTGTGCAGAGCCTGGCCCTTGGATGACAAGCTATCCTGTTCCCTGCAGTTGAGGGCGCTTCTTGAGGGCTGAGACTTGGAGCCCTGAAACAGGAAGCTTGCCAGGCGGATGCAGCAAGTCGGTGACCCCAGCTGCTGACCTGGCAGTGGGCAGGATGGGTAGGGGTGAGGGCAGAGAGTTGGTGATGGGAAGGTAGCAAGACTTAGTGCTGCACAGCATGGGTTGCAGGTTCTTCTGGGTCAGGGCCTCGGGCATGTCGGGCAGTGTGGGGTCCAGGGAGGTGGGCAGAGGCTGGAGGGAGAGCCCTGTGGTATGTGGGGAAAGTGCTCAGGCCGGCGCAGCATCCCATGCAGGGGCCCTGAGGCATCCCTGTGGGGAGGGGCCCGCCTGTCCCAGAGTAGTAGGGGCCATGGAGGATGGTAGACAGAGGTCGAGGTGCAGGTGGAGAGGTGGAGGCAAGTGGGCTGAGGTCTGTGTTGGTGTCTCCAGCACCTCTGACCCCTTTGGACCTGAGTATGTTCCTGGGGGCTCAGGATCAGAGCCTCCTCTCTGTGTCCTTCCTGTCTCTGAGATGGGATGGGAATTCTGTCTAGACTCTCAGAGGTGACCTGAGGGCTTTGGCAGAAGGACAGGCATCCTGGGGGTGGTGAGAGGTCTTGTGCCTTCGTACCCCCATCAGAGGGCTATGGCCTCGCTGGCCTTTCCCACTGGCTGAGGAAGTGACTGCGCTGGCCGGCACTCCCTAGGGCATGGAAATCCCCGAGGCCCCCAGCACCCCAGAGGCAGCGCCTGGAACTAAGGGGTGACCCTTCCTGCTGGAGGCAGAAGGTCCGCCGGGGGCTCCAGATTCTGCCTTGCTTCCCTCATGCCCCAGCCTCTGCCCTATTGGGCAGCAGTGCCCCCCCCCAGCCTTGCACAGACCCCCAGTAGCCAAAGCCATGATGTGTGGGCCCTGGGGATGTCCCTCAGGGACACTGCTGCCTGGCTCTGCCTCTCCCAGATGCCTGGCATGGCGCATTCAGGGACCCTGTTCACTTGTGGGTTGATGTCTGTGGCTGCTCCTGGCCATGTCTTAGTGTAGCAGGTCTGAGGGCTCAGGGATCCCCATCCAGTCCTGGCCTGGAGGAATGAGATGTGGTCAGTCCCCAGCCCCTGGTTCAACCCATAGGCGACAGGGAGCTTGGAGCGACCCCCTTCATCACTGGGTCGCCTGTCAAGAGGCAGTACTTCTCTGAAGTTGGGTCTCCTGTCTGCAGAAGGGGTGTCAGTCCATTCTCTGGGTTCCTGGGTGGGCAGGGCTATGTGCTCAACTTGGGTATCCAGGTCCCCAGGCGGAGCTCAGGTCCTCTCTGCTGCCCTTGTGGAGCAAGGGCCCCGGCAGGGATCTGATGATGGCCCTTTTCTTCTCAGAGGTCATGGGTCAGATTCCGTTCTTCCTGCAGCTTCCTCTTATTCTCTTGAGCCCGTTGCGATGTGACCAACCTTTTATTTCATGGTAACATCTTACATAGAAGTGTTGTGGAGTCATTGGTGTGGCAGAGGGAGGTCCCTATTCCCTCCCCAGCCCTGTGATGACATTCCTGTGTCTGCCGTGGGCAGGAGTTGCCCAGGCCCCCGGTGTGTGTGCAGGGTTCAGTGGGGTTTAACCAGAGGGTAGAGTCCTTGTGACCTCCACCATCGCACTGCAGCCACCCCATAATCCTTGGAGCCCCCGATTGGTCCTCTATCTCTGCCACCTAGATGGACTCACACATCATGTGTCCCCTGAGATGGGCACCTGTCATTCAGCAAGCTTCCCCAGAGAAGTCTTAAGTTGTGGGCTGAACCAGTACTTTGTTCTTTTTGTGTTTGTTTTTCATTACTGGGTATCAAAAATGACTGATGGATTGATTGTGTGTGGGGGGGTATTGGGAGTAGAACTCAGGGGTGCTGTACTGCTGAGCTACATCCCCAGCTCTTTGTGATTCTTCTCTTTTTGGTTTGGTTTGATTTGGTTTTGGGTACTGGGGATTGAACTCAGGACCTTGTGCTTGAAAGGCAGGCAGCAGAACCACTGAGCTAAATCCCTGGCTGTATTTTTTATTTTGAGACAGGGTCTCAGTCAGTTGCCTAGGCAGGGCTCATATTTGAGATCCTCCTGCTTCAGCATCCCAGACTGCTGGAGCAACAGGCAGCAGGCACCACCACAATAGCCAGGTGTTGTTGTGCATGCCTGCCATCCCAGCAGAAGGTCCTAGCAGGAGGCTGAGGCAGGATTGTGGGTTCAAGCCAAACCTGAACAACTTAGCAAGAACTCAGATTCAAATTGAATCCATTTCTTAAACACTGTGTGTATTGCGCCAGTCTTGGGTCGCCTGGGAGCACTTGGTGAGTGACACAAGTGTGACTGTTGTCCCTGTTGTGATAAGCTGACAGTTGTCCCAGCTGTCTGGTACTGCTCCCCCTGGTGTCCTGCCGCTCCCTACATGATGCTTGTTGATTGACCAGCGCTCTTTACGTGGGGCCAGCCCCAGGCTTCAGGTGCACACCGTCAGAGCAGGTAGAATAAAAAGAAGTGGGGGGAGGACCAGGGATGTAGTTCAGTGGTGCTGCCACCTGCCTTGAAAGTACAAGGTCCCGAGTTCGAGCCCCAGTACCCAAAAATAAGTGTGTGTGTGGGGGGGGAGCTTTGAAGTTAAGTTTGCCAGCAACAGAGTAAATGCAAACTTCATGGTTTAAAGTGTCCCAGAGCCCTTCCAAGTTACCTGTGAATTTTCTCTCTCTTTTTTTTTTTTTTTTAATTTTATCTTTTAAACCTTTTTCTTACTACCTCAATTCTACTCAGGTTTTTGGGGGTTTTTTTTGGTTTTCTTTTGTTTTGGTACTGGGGATTGAACTTGGGACCTTATGCTTGCGAGGCAGGCAGCGGAACCACTGAGCTAAATCCCTGGCCTTGTACCTCTATTCAGTTTTATTTCCTGTAGCTTTGTGGGTTTTTGTTGTACCCAAGGCCTTGTGCAAGCTAGGCATCTGCCCTACCACTGAGCTGCACCCCCCGCCCTTTTTATTTTGTTTTGAGACAGGGCTGACTGGCCCAGGTTGACCTCTAAAGTTGCCTCCCCTGTAGCTGGTATTACAGGTGGGTGCCACTGGGCCCAGCATATCTTGTTTGTGTTTTTGTTTTGTGGGAACAACCCAGGGTCTTGTGGGTGCTAGGCAAGTGCTCACCACGGAGCTGTGTCCCACCCCCAGACCTCCAGCTTGTACAAGACACTGAACCATGTTGGTTTGTAGGTGTCAGAGTTACCTACAGAGCAGGTTGCTTCTGGGCATTGTGGCATTTTCCATGGTGCCATTTCAGAACCTTTCTTCTTGTCCCCTTGGTCACCTCCAGACATCATTATTGTGTTTGCTTGACGTAGGTAAATGGCCCCCTTGCTCTCCCTTGCAACCTCCCCTCCAACTCCCCTCCAAACAGCTCCTGTGCTGCAGGAGTGTCTGTGGGGACCCCTCCCTGGGCCCTTGGCTTATTGACAGTGGCTGCTTGGTCTTTCCGCAAGCGCAGTGGCAAGCGCAGTGCGGGCTGCAGATTGCAGATAGGCTTTTGTGTCTGTCTTTATCATGTTGTGGGCCTGTGCCTTGGGCCCATCTGACACCTGCAGTGAATATCGCCCTGGGTCCTTGTGGCCTCTGGGATTAGAGTCTGGGTTTCCTCCTTCACCGAGTCCTCTTTTCCTTGAATGGTTTCTCCCGTGCGCGACTGCCTTGAATTTGGAACATTTCTGGCGCAGCCTGTCTCCTGCCTGTGGAGGCAGCACCCACTCTTGCCTCCTGAAGCATCTAGCATTTTCTTAAAATGCAAACAAAACCAAAACTCGCCAGGCGTGGTGGTGCACACCTGTCATCCCAGCTACTCTGGAGGCTGAGGCAGGAGGATTGCAAGTTCAAGGCCAACCTGAGGAACTTAAGACCCTGTTTCAAAGAACAAAACAAAAATCATTCATTTTAGCCACATTTGAAAACTGTAGACACAGAACTGCTAACATATAAAGTCCCTGTTCCTGTCTGAGCCTGTGTCCTGATCCTAACAGCTTCCTTCTCAGCCCGTCCCTTTGCCCTTGATGCCACTGCTTCCTGCTTTATCTATTTCATTGATTTTTCTTGCAAGGGATCAGCTTGATTGGGGAATCGATATTTTTCCATTGACTGCCTGCCTTTTCCTTTTCTACTTTGATCTTAATTCCTCCTTTTCTTAAGGTTTTTCTCCACCCCCTACCAGACTTTCAGATCAAAGACCTCGTTTTTTTACTTCTGTTCTCCTTAATTCATCTTAGGTTTTTTGTTTTTTATTTTTTTGGTACTGGGATTGAACTCAGGACTTTGCGCTTGCAAGGCAGGCCCAGTGCCACTGAGCTTACCCAGCTGTTCTCCTTAATTCAGTAACCAGGGTGCAGAGGTTTATAAATTTTCCTTTTGAGTCCCAGCTAGCCATATTCCATTCATTTTAGTAATACGTTTTCCTCATACAATAGATATTTAGGTAATTTAAAAAAATTTTTCCCTTGAGTCAAGTTTTATTGGAGATTTATGAATTTCATGCTGTGGGTGAAGAGTTGGTGTCTTTTAGTTTATTTATTTTTTTGAGATGGGATCTTGCTGAGTTGTCCAGGCTGGCCTTGAACTCTGTATCTTCCTCCCTCAGCCTTCCAAGTGGCTGGCATCGTGGATGTGTGCCAGTCATGGTTTAGAACAGCATTCGTGACCCCTCCATTTCTCCCTCTTTGAACTTGGAGGTGACGTTGTTCCTCCCCTCAATCCCACAGGAACATGGAGAGGTGGTACAGAGCTGTGTGCTGACCAACATGTTGCTACTTGCTGAGCCCCTGTGTCTCACCCCCCTCAGCCTTGTGTTGCTTCTGTGTCCTTGTCACAGTGACTCCGCCCCTTCCCAGAGGTTCACACTAGTGAAATGCAGTAGCATCATGAGGCTCCCAGGAGATGCCAGGCAGTGCCATCTGGGCCCAGTTGGTCTTATTACTGGTATAGGACCTTGGGGTGAGGTCCAGGGATCCCGCTCTTCTCCCTAACTCCCACAGGAGTGATTTGATTGTCATATTGTGTTTCAAATGTTGTCGGGAACAGATGTTGGTGACATAAAACTAACCTGCAGGTGACATTCAGTTGGGACAGGATTTTTTTTGTGTGTGTGTGTAGTCCTGGGTATGGAACCCAGGGCCTTCACACTGAGCTATGTCTCCAGTCCTTTTTATTTTTTATTCTGAGACAAGGTCTAGCTAAGTTGCCCAGGGTGGTCTCGAATTTGAGATCCTCCTGTCTCAGCCTCCAAGAGCCCTGGGATGACAGGTGTTCACCACTGCGCCCAGCTCTACCCTGAGCGTTTTTCCGTCCTCTCTTGTCTTGCTTATTCTCTGTCTGTCTGAGGTCTCCCTTTCCTCCCAACTGCAGAACCTTCTGCTCTGGCCCTTAAGGGTGGGAGCAGTGTGTGGTGACAGCCTCTCCTGGGGTCTGTCATCCTCTTGAATACCTGAGTGCCACCTCTGTCCTCTGTCCTGCCTTTGTCTCTCCCTGTGTCTTTGTTGAGCAGAGGCTCCAGCTGGCACGGAACTTGCATTTTGGGGGGCAGAATGTCCTGTCCTGGGCTTGGAGACCATGGGGATGGACCCTCGCAGGATCAGGTTCTCTGTTGTCATTGAGGTTGCTCATCTGACACCAAGGCAGAGGAGGGTTGGGACCTCATGGCTCTGAGTTCTTATTTATGGACTTGTCAGACCCCCATTCTTGAGGCTGGTTCTGTGCCCCAGAGATGCCCCAGGAGCTAGGGTTGCCATTCTAGGAGTTCAGGAAGAGTTCGGGTGCATGCAGCTGTCTTTTTTGTTTTTCTGGTGCCTGGTTCTGGTTTTATTTCTTGAGACTGGACCTCATTAGTGTGCTGAGTTGCCTAGGCTGAGCTCGAACCTGTGATCCTCATGCCTCAGGCTCCCGAGTAGCTGGGAAGGCCGGCATGCGCCACCGCACCCAGCACTGTTCACTGTTCAAGGTTTTAGGAGGGATCATGGTGTGTTGTGGTGGTGGTCATAATTACTGTAATTGTTCCTCTGTTTGTGGGGCACTGGTCCTAGGACCCCTGGGAACACCAGCATCTGTGGGAATGCCAGTCCCTTGTGTAAAATTGCCTGGTGTTTGCATAGAACCTGCCCCGCCATCCCAAGCTCCAGTCATCCTGGGAGGACTCCTTACACCTCGAATGGTGTACATGCTGGGTCTTCAGCGCTGTGCTGAGTTGTTTGGGGGATGACGTCAAGCGCAGAAGTCACAAACACTCGGTGCGTTCTTTCTTCTGAAGATTCCCCATCCTAGCTTAGTGAACACCACAGATGTGGCACCTGCAGATGTGGGCCAGCTGTGGTGGTGCACGCCTGTGTCCCAGCTACTTGGGAGGCCGAGGCAGGAAGATTGAGGATCGAAAGACCGAAGCTAGCCTGGCTGGGCACTTAGCAACCCTGTCTCAGTTTTTTTAAAAAGGGCTGGGAATGGAGCTTAGTGGTGCAGGCAGAGCCAGCTCACATGTTGGAAGGAGAAGAGAGTGGGGAGAGGAGTTTGGTCTTCTGTTGAGGGCCTTGGGGAGCCATGGGAGGCGTTAGGAGGGAAGGGCTCAGGGTTTCACTTCTGCAAGGCCTGTCAGGCTGCCTGGGGATGATTTCGTCAGGTCCCTGGCTGGAGGCTGCTGCAGGGCTGGCGCCTGACCCTGGGCTGTAGCTGTTGTCAGGCCGTTTTGAGGCTACATAGGGTCCTGAGAGGCGAGCACGGAGCCTGGGGAGAGAGCTTGCCCTGGGTCTTGCCCTGCATTTTGCCTATCCCTGGCACAGCCCCATGCCTGGCGCTGAGGTCTGTTGCTCAGGCACTGTGATCGTCCTTCATGCCAGGGCCGCCTGTTTTCTAACAGGCCAGAAAGTGTGTGTATAGCCAGGCCTGTCTGTCACTGTGACTTAGTTCCACCATTGACTGTGAACACGTGGAGTGTGTGCAAGTAAAGCTTTTTTTCTTTGCAGTATTGGTTTTGCACTGAGCTACATCCCTATCCCTTTTTCTGTTTACTTTGAGGTAGGGCCTTGCTAGTTTGCTGAGTGGCCCAGGCAAGGTTTGAGCCAGTGCTCATCCTCCTTCCTCACAGCCTCTTGAACTTCTGGGATGACAGGTGTACCACCATGCCCAGCCTGATAAAACTTTATTTACAGAAACAACTTATGGGGCAGGCTTGATCTGGAGTCTGCCAACCCTGTGCTCTTGGCCCAAACCAGCATTTACTGAGAGTTTCTGAAGCCCACTCCCTCCTTTAGAAAAGAAACATCCAGGAGCCTGCAGCTCCCTGGCAGGTGGGCACCTCCATCCCCTCACCCTCCCAGGTGACACCAGAAGGACCAAAGTCCTCAGGGTGAGCCAGGCCTTAGGTCCCCACCCCTGGGCATCTTCCCAAGCCATGTCTTCCTCACCATTGCTGCCTGCACTTCCCCCAGCATTTAAAAAATCATAAGAGAATGATACCCAGCTCTGATCGTCTTATTCTATTAACATGTTTTAATTAGTGTATGAGGAAGGATGGTGTTATGAATATTCATGGTGGGTTATTAAAATGCATAATTAATCAGTGGGGATTTTAATCTCTGAATTCGGTGGTGGGGGAGGGGCTCCCCATTTTTGTTCTTTGTAGAAGGAGGAGGACGAGGACTGGCGGGGGACCCAGGCAGCACCTCATTGCAGCCAGCCCCTGGGAGGTGCTGGGGTCAAGGGCTCCGTAGGGCCGGCCCCAGCTGCCGTCATGAGAAGGAGTCTTCTCGCCCTTCTCAGCCTGGTACCTCCAGAGCTCACTGCATGTGTCCCTGGGGCGGCCGGACCCAAGTACGGATGCTCTCACATCCCTCACTGTCCAAGGGGGCAGTGGCCAGAGGGGAGAGGCGGGGCAGGTGTTTAAAGGCACACAGGAGTCACCCAGGATCCCGGGGTACAGATATCCCCAAACTGAGCAACGAATGACAGGCGGATTCCAGGAGGCCCAGTCCCATCGCAGCATCCCGGCCCCCACCCTTAATCATGCTGGAGATTTAGGGTTTGAAGACAAAATCTAAACGAGACATGAATATTCACTAGGCTTTGAGATTAATATGCATAGTTATGCAAATTAGACAGCAATTAAACATCAGTTCTCCTGGGAGGATGATTAACAGGAAGGCACTGAGATATAAGAGTGAGATTTTAAAGAAGTTCTGGCACGAGTGGGTGGGGAAGGTGGTGGCGGCTGGTGAGGGAACTGGGCCTAGGGCTCCAGGAGCCTGGGGTACCGCAGTAGGACAGTAGGGTTTGTTTATAACCTGGTTTACGGAGGAGGGAAACCAGGGCACCAAGTGGCCCAGCTGAGGGTCCCAGAGCTGTGCTCAGCTCTACAGAGAGCTGCACTTTGGGGCCCCAGAAGGTGAGGCCCCGGTGGGGGAGCCAGGCAGCTGCTGTGGGGGACAGCAGGCACCTAGCCGTTGCCTGTGAGTGTTCAAGGAGATAAGGCCCCACCCGCCCTGCCCCTCGGGACAACCTTGTCCCCACACGACGGGGTACAGCTACCCTGGGGCCTCCTTTTGCTGCCAGCCAGCTACGCCGCCTGGTGGGTAGTCCCAGGGTAGTCCATGGCTCTACAAGGGTGGCTCTGCATCTCCATTGGCAGCAGTGGGTTGGGGGAGGGCACACACCCTGCTTTCCAGGGAGTAGAGTTCATTATTTGTTCATTATGCATTCTTGGAGGCCCTTGTGACCCTTTCTCAAAGGATCAACAGAGTGTGCCTGAAACACATGCCCTATACCTGTGTGGTCAGGGCTAGGCCTGAGTAAGAATCCCAGTATGGGAGTAAGGGCCCTGCTCTGGGTGGGCACAGTGGCTGGGACTTTGACGTGTGGATGGGAGTTCACCAGTGAAGACAGCTGGAGGGTAAGTTACTAAATTGCAGGCCTATAAATACGGTTTGTGATGTCTGGGACTCTGGCTCCTAACTGTGCTGTTGGTAGCATCTGGGTTGGGTGCTGCTGGGCTAGGGCTGCACAGGGCTAAGGATGGCCCTCGACTCTCCCTTTGCCCTGCAGGTCTTGAGGACCGGTCCACCTCAGGAACCTGGGGCCCCAGTGATCAGAACAATTCCTCTTTCGACCCCAGCCGGGTGAGGAGCAGGTTCCTTTTCCTGGGGTGGGGAAAGGAGGGGTCGGTGAACTGTGTCCAGGGGCCCTGGGCTTGAGACCCAGGTTTTGACCTGGGCCTGGTGCTTGCCAAGCTGACGCCTAGTGCCCCTTCCCCGCCACCTCCCCAGACCTACAGCGAAGGCGCCCACTTCAGTGACTCCCACGGCGGCCTCTCAACACCCGCGTTCCTGGGATCTGGGCTTGGAGGTGAGTGGGGCTCAGCTGGCCCAAGGGCACCCATGCAGGTGATCACAGCCCTGCCACTCAGTCCTCCTGCTGGGTGGCTGTGGGGCTCTGCCTCTGTCTTGGGTTGTGCACCGGTCAGGCCCCCGGTGGCCCAGGAATGAGTCCCAGTCCCAGGAGGAGCAGCCCCTTTGGGCACGGGTGTGGCCCCTGGCTGGTCACCATCTTGCTGAGTCAGGGATGCAGTTTATCCACGCCTGAGCCTCAGTGTCTCCTCCCGTGGGTCAGGGATCCCCCCAAACCTTTTTTATTGGTGGGTTTTTTTTTTTGTTTTTGTTTTTTTTTGGTACTGGGGATCGAACTCGGGTCCTTGCACTTGCGCAGCAGGCGGCGAAACCACTGAGCTAAATCCCCAGCCCCCCGACAAACCTTCCTCGTGATCCCCAGCGTTGTCACCTTCTCACTAGCCCACTTGAAGAGGCTAACAGCATCTCACAGATGAGCAAACTGAGGCTGGGCAGGAAGTGCTGGCTCCATGCTCCAGGAGCACTCAGGCTGCAGCCTGGGCCTCTGTCCCTCCTGCCAGGGGCCCCAGGGTGTGTCCTGGTGACACAGTCAAAGCCAGGAGCCCTGAATGTATTGCTAGGTTCAGCCATCAGTGCTGGGTGTGGACTGTGTGCCAGTGAGGAAACTGAGCCCCAGGGTACCCTGAGAGGCAACCCAAGCCTGACCAGCACTGGTGGTCCAAGTGGGAAGCATGTGGCATGGGGAGAGGGAGGGGCAGGGGTGGCTGAGCACCCATGGGGATGGGGATTCTGTGCCCACTTCCTGGCCGGCCACTGTAGCCTAGAGAAGGCTTTGCACCTGGGGCCACCACTTCTCTTCGGCCACCTGTTCCTCCCTATGCTGGGAAGTGGTGGCCTAGAGCAGGCGGGACCCCGGAGCCACAGGGAGGGCGACCCCAGCCTCTGGCATCTCAGCCTGTGGCCCCCTAGTCCTTGGGATGGCTCCGTGGGGAGCTCATGCGTCCATGGGGAGCACAGCCTCTTGCCTTACCTACTCCAGGGGCACTGAGGCCAAACCAAGTAGGAAGAGTCAGGCTCCAGCCCTGTTGGTTCTGGGACTGTAATTCTTTCAAAATGAAGAGATTAGGAGTTGATCTTTTTTTATTTTGAGACAGAATCTTGCTGAATTGCCCAGGCTGAGCATGAACCTTCCCAGAAGGCTGGGCCCAGCTAAGAGGGTTTTGTTCTTAGTTTGAGAATTATTCAAATGAATGGATCATGCATTCTGGCTCCTCCTTCACCACAAGGCTTGTTTACTGTCCATTTTTCCTCATGTTCAATGCCCAGGGTTTTTGTTTTGTTTTGTTTATTTTGGGGATTTTTAAAAAAATTAATTTTATTGGTACATTTAAGGTAGTTTTGTTTTTTGAGACAGGGTCTCGCTGTAGTTCAGGCTGGCCTTGAACTCACTATGTAGTACAGGCTGGTCTGAAGCTTGCAACAATCCTCCTTCCTCAGCCTCCTGAGTGCTGGGATCACAGGCATGCGCCACCACGCCAGGCTATGCCCAGTTTTAGTCCTAAGAACTAAGGAGACTGAAAGCTCAGGTACTGTGTAACCTAAGGAGCCTGCTTCAAGTGTGGCGGGATCCAGGCATCTTGCAATGACAGGAGTCTGTCTGCACAGAGTGTCACCCACAGCGCCAGGCCTTGCCTGCCCCTTCTCACCCAGTGGTTTGAATCAGCATATGCAGGGAATGCAGGCTTAACATGGCCCACATGTTGGGTCACAGAGTGACCATTGGTCGGAAAGCTGGGCTGCCCCATTGCCCAGGCCCTGGGCCCGCAGTGAGCTTGTGTGACGGGGACCTGGGCGCTGGGCCTGGTAGGCACCATGTGCAACACAACATGGGCTCCTAAGGCCCCTTCAGGGGCCCCAGATCCATCCCTGTGACTGGTGCATTCAGGGTCAGGCACAGCTGAGAGATGAGGCTAGACAGCGCCAGCCTCCCCGCCTAGATCTGCAGATGGCTCTTCGTCCAGCTGGCCTCAGGGACCCTGGCATCCCCACTGGGCTCCAGGTGGGTGGGAGGCACCTGAGCAGGCAGGGCTTTGTGCCATCCGCCTTGTGCACTTGCTGAGCACCTGCTGTATGCGGGCTTCCCCGGTCTGCTCCAGTGACTGCTTCCCTCCCTCCAGGCAAGGGTGGTGAGCGGGGCACGTACCCTGCCTTCGGGAGAGAAGCGGGTGTTGGCGGCTTGACTCAGGTGAGTGCAGTGTGGCTGGCACAACTCTGCTCCCCCCTTCTCCTTTCTTTGTTTTTTCTTTTTGTTTTTGTTTTGGCATACCTGAGGATTGGACCCAGCTTCATCCCTAGCCCTTTTTAAAATTTTTTTATTATGAGACAAGTTTTCTGTAAGTTGCTAAGTTGCCCAAGCCAGAGTGGAACTTGCCATCCTGCCTCAGCCTCCTAGAGTGCTGGGCTGACAGGTGCGCACTCCCCACCCGGCTGTTTCTCTTCATCCTCATGGAGATAATGGCGTGGCTTGGGCTCTGCAGTGCCTTGGTTCTCAGAACAGGCCAGGTGTTGCGGAAGCCAGTTCACAGGCAAGCTGAAGGGTCACCTCACGCTCTGGGCCACAGTCACCTCAGACATGTCTTTTTTTTCTGGTACCGGGGATGGAACTCAGGTCTTTGTGCTTGTGCAGCAGGTGGTGAAACCACTGAGCTAAATCCCCGGCCCACCCCAGACATGTTTGAGTGGGCCTGAGCTTTGCTGTTGGCGGGTTTTATAGACAAACTGGCCAGCCCAGCACCCCCATGACCTGTCCTTCCCCCAGGCTGGCTTCCTACCAGGAGAGCTGGCCCTGAGCAGCCCCGGACCGCTGTCACCCTCGGGCATCAAGGGCAGCTCGGCATATTACCCCTCCTTCCCCAGCAACCCCCGGCGGAGAGCCGCGGACAGCGGCCTGGGTGAGTTGGGTACGTGGGGGTGTAGCAGGAAGGATGGGACTGCGGAGGGGTCACCGTTCCTCTTCCTGGTGCCAAGGAGACGGGACAGTCTTGACACCCACATATGCCTTCAGGTCCTGCTGGTGCCAGGGTGGAGGGATGGAGAAGAGCAGATATGGCCGAGCCTCGTGGTTCCTGGTGGTCCCTGCCCCAGGTCCCCTTGGATCCCGAGCCGTTGCTCCTGGGAGAGATTCAGGGTTAGGTTCCCAGGAGCTTTGTCGCATTGTTGGTGGCTGCAGATGCAAGCTCTGGTGCTGGGTCCCCATGCCCCTTGCTGAATTCCCATTGTGGACACTGTCATGCTGAGCCTGACTCCAGGGCACTGACACTCAGAACTTCTCCCACACTCAGGGGGGCCTCTGTCAGGTGCTTGGCAGCCTCTTTGTGCTGCTGAGGGGGTGCTGCTTCCAGGGCAGTTTTTTTGTTTTTGTTTTTCTTTGGTACCGGGGATTGAACTCAGGACCTTACACTTGAGGGGCAGGCAGCGGAACCACTGACCTAAACCCCAGCCCTGGGGCAGTTTGAACAGTGAGTTCCCAAGAGCGAGTGCAAGAGGCCCTGGATGGGTGCACAGTCTGTAGTGTGAGCAGAACAAAACGGCTACACCCAGCCTCGTGTCCTCAGCGGGAATCGTGGCATCAGGGACTCACTTGCCACTCTGAGCCTGTCCCTGAGCAGTAGGGAAGGGACCTCTAGTGCCAGTTCAGGGTTACCAGTATGACGGGGCAGGTGGCTTTGCAAGCACAGACCCCGTGAACTATAAGGGCTGGCCATATGTCATTGGGGTGACCGTGGCTGGCCTTGTCTTCATGTGATTTTCTTGCATTTCTGGGCCCATGTAGGGATCCCCTAAGTGGTCAACAGTTCCGCTGCATGGCAGACGTGGGGTTCCTGGGGGCTGTGCAGGGCTGCGCCAGCCACAGCAACCTTAACTCCTCTCACTCCCACAGACTCGCAGCCTAAGAAGGGCCGGAAGGTCCCACCCGGTCTTCCTTCCTCGGTGAGTGGGGGCCCAGGGGATCCTGTGGGCCTGTGCATCTGTGCCCCCCAGGCCAGCGGCCTCCCTGTGGAGGGCACAGCAGTCCCGAGGGTGCCCACCTAAGGCCCGGCCTTGGCCCTGGCCCTGGCCCTGGCCCTGGCCCTGGCCCTGGCCCTGGCCCAGGGGACAGCAGGGAAGCCCGCCCTTCGCTTAGCCCCAGCCTTCATCTCTTCCATAGTTGGTCCTGGAGCCACTGTGTTAATGGGGGCTGTGGGGCTCAGTGGGCAGGGCATCCCGGGGATACCAGTGCTGTCCCCCACTGCCCTGGGTCTGAGTGCCTGTGTTGGCAGCTGAACAGGCCCACCCAGGGTCAGGGTCAGAGTTGATACCTGGGCTGGGGGGGTCAAAGGCTGTGACTGGCCTGGACTGTTTTAGGACTCAAGTTGTCACGATTCCTGTCCTCTTCCCCTCAGCTCTACCAGCCTGGCCCAACTGGCATTCAGTAGACCCTATCACTGTCATCTGTTGAGCCCAGCTTGGGATCCAGGCAGCTAGCCCTTCCAAGTTGGCCCTGAGCAGGAATGCCCTTTGACCCACCTTGGGTCAGGCATAGCCAGACATTACTCCAGGGACTTGCCCTGAGACCCCCAAATCTATGATCCAGGCTTGAAACCAGGGGAGGTTCCCCACAATGGAGGATCCAAGACAGGACAACAAGGTAGAGCTAAGGCCATTGATGGGTCAATAGTTGGCTGGGCAAAGGAAGGGAAAGGTGTTCTGGGCAGAAGCCAGTCTCAGTGGCTTCAGGTGCAAGAGCCTAGAACTTTGAAGGGAAGGAGTCAGGAAGAAGGGCATGGAAATAGAATAGGAAAGGACACGAGGAGGCCATAAGCACCTCTGACTCTGGGACAAGGGGCCTGGGACATATCCAAAGCTAAGATGTCTTACAGGGAAAGGGGTGGGGCAGGAAGTGGGCTGGAGTAGACTGGCACTTGGTGGTATGGTGAGGATGTGGCGGGAACAGGGCTGGCTGTGCCCTCCTGCCTGAGTGTGCCCCCGCCCGCCCACAGGTGTACCCTCCCAGCTCAGGTGATGACTATGGTAGGGACGCCGCCTACCCCTCCGACAAGACCCCTGGCAGTACCTACCCCGCCCCCTTCTACATGGCAGGTGTGTGGGACTCCTGGGCTGGGCTGGCTGGGTCCCCCCATCCCTGCCTCACCATCCCCTCTCCACAGATGGCAGCCTACACCCCTCAGCAGAGCTCTGGAGCCCCCCAGGCCAGGCGGGCTTCGGGCCCATGCTGAGCGGCGCCTCGTCCCCACTGCCTTTGGCACCTGGTGCTGGCAGCTCTGTAGGCAGTGGTGCATTTGGCGGTCTCCAGCAGCCTGAGCGCATGGTAAGCTGGGTGAGGGGGCAGGTGGGGGGGATCCCCACCTTCCTGATGATCCTCGCTTCCTGACCAATTCCTGCCTGCCCAGGGCTACCAGCTGCATGGAGCCGAGGGCAACGGTGCCCTCCCAGCTGTGGCCTCCTTCTCCTCGGGTCCTGGAGCTGCCTACAGCAGCGTCTCGAGCCACACGCCGCCCGTGACCGGGGCCGACAGCCTCCTAGGTACAGGGGACGCAGCACCACCCCAGGGCAACTGAGGCACCAGATGGAGGGAGTGGCACTGGGGTGTGCACTGGGCCCTACCCTGCCTGTTGCCAGTGGACCCACTGTGGTCCCCAGTGCCTCAACCCAGGGAGCCAGATGTCATAGCTTCCGGCAGCAGCCAGGCTCAGGGCAGGGTGCTTCTGCCTGCCACTGGCCTGGGTAGCTGTGTGCAGGAGTGAGCTGCTATTACCCAGGCATCCAACCCAGCTGCCACAGAGGCCAGGCCTCACCTCTTTCCACCCACAGGCTCCCGTGGGACTTCGGCTGGCAGCTCCGGGGACGCCCTTGGGAAGGCCCTGGCCTCGGTGAGCCAGGGGCCCTGGGAGCCAGGGTGGGCCGTGACCCACTGCACAGGCTTGCCTGACCACCACCCTGTCCTGTCCCCACACAGATCTACTCCCCGGATCACTCCAGCAGTAACTTCTCACCCAGCCCCTCGACCCCTGCAGGCTCCCCACACGGCCTGGCCGGTGAGTGGTCACCCTGGGGTCCTGCGGTGAGTGCCCATCCTCCCGGGCCGGGCCCTCTAGGCAGGCTGCATGGAGGAGATGGGCTTGGATGTCCTCGAGCTGTGCTGTTAAAAGTACCCCTAGGTGTAGGCAGGCGTATGGCGCACACCTGTCATCCCAGCACTCCAGAGGATCACAAGTCCATGCCCAGTGGATTGTAAAGTCCTCACTTCCTGCTCCTGCGTCCCACACCAGCTCCACATCCCTTTCGCTCATGCCCCTCCTCCTTCCAGGGACGTCGCAGTGGTCCCGAGCAGGAGCCCCTGGTGCCTTATCACCCAGCTATGATGGGGGACTCCACGCCCTGGTGAGCTTCCCTGCCTGCCGAGAGGCTGGAGGTGGTCAGCTGTGTCTGCTGTGTGTCCTGAAGGTGCCTTCAGGTCCCCTGTGACCAGCAGAGTTGCCATGACACAAGCGCCTCTTGACAGGATGACTAGAAAATGTGGCACATGTCTGTGATTGCAGCTACTTGGGAGGCTGAGGCAGGAGGATCCCAAGTTTCAAGTTTGAGGCCAACCTGGGCAAATTAAGGATATCCTGTTTTGAAAAAACTAAAAATGTTGGGGCCAGGGATTTAGCTCAGTGGTTCTGCTGCCTGCCTCACAAGTGCAAGGTCCCGAGTTCGATCCCCAGTATCAAAAAACAAAAACACCTAAAAATATTGGGAAGGGTGAAGTGGCCGTGTGCTGTGTGTGGAGGCCCCTGTGTGTGCACGTCCTTGGGGCCAGGTTCTCACTGCAGCCACCCACCCACAGAACAAGATGGAGGACCACCTGGACGAGGCGATCCACGTGCTCCGCAGCCACGCCGTGGGGACTGCGGGTGACATGCACAGCCTGCTGCCCGGCCATGGTGCTCTGGCCTCCAGTTTTGCTAGCCCCATGCCGCTGGGAGGTCGCCACACAGGCCTGGTGAGCATTGAGGAGGGTGGGTCCCAGGAAGGTGGCTGGAGGATGGACCCCTGTCGCCTCCTCACGTGCCCCCTGCCCACCCACCCACAGGTTGGGGGCGGCCACTCCGAGGATGGGCTCGGGGCCAGTGCCAGCCTCCTGCACAACCATGCAGCCCTCCCCAGCCAGCCTGGTACCTTGCCCGACCTTGCCCGGCCACCTGACTCCTACAGTGGTGAGTCCCACATTGCTAGCATCACCTGTCACGGGCCTGCAGGTTTGGAGCTGCAGCTGGGGAACAGGCACGAGGCCACAAGGCACCCCAGACCCCACAGGGCAGGACAGGGCCGGCTCCTTCACAGTGTGGGGTAGGGAGGTTGGCTCTGGCTGTCAGGCGGAGTCAAGGTGAGAGGCTGTGGCGGTTTCCCCTTTGAGGGTGCCAGTGACACAGGGCTCACCGTGGCTGGGGTGCAGGTGGGACGGCAGCTCTGGCGTCCGCCTCTCAGCAATTGACCTGTGTGTTTACTCACTCCATGATGTGGCTCATTACACATGGGACGGTGGGTGTGGTGCTGCATGCTGGCTCTGTTCCAGGCTCCAGGGAATAAAAGGAGTAGAAGCTGGGTGTAGTGGTGCATGCCTGTCATCCCTGAACTCTGGGAGGCTGAGGCAAAAGGATTCCCAAGTTTGAGCCAGCCTGGGCATTTCATTGACATAGGCTCTGTGTCAAAATAAAAAGATTTGGGGCTGCAGCTCAGTGTAAAGGCCTTGTTGAAATGCGGGGAAGGAGGATTCAGGCTGCTTAGCTTCCAGTGGTATCTGGGAAAGAAGGGAACATTCAGCACAGCCTGGGAAGGTGTGACAATGGGCAAGTACCAGGGGGAGGAGTCTCAGGCAGCAGGCATGCCCTGTGCAAAGGCCCTGGGGTAGGATAGATGCTGGGATGTTAGGGGAGTAGTTAAGAGACCCATTTGGCTGGAGCAGAGGGACAAGGGGAGGGGACAGGAGCGTCGTGCAGGGCCATGCGGGCTGCAGGAAGGACTCCAGCTTTGGCCCCGAGGGAAATGGGAGCTGTGGGGGTCTATGGGCAGAGGAGCTGACTCTTGGGTGCCCTCCAGCAGCTGTGGGGAGGACACTCTAGAAGTTGCTTGGAGAGACATGTGCTGTCACAACATGGAAGCTCCTGGCATGGAGCAAGTAGAGATCAGGGGTGCTGCCCAGCACCTTGCAGTGCCCAGGATATCCCACAGAGAACGAATGACCCAGCCCCAAGTGTCCACAGTGCCAAGGAGTCCCCTTAGCCTTAGTCCTTCACGCACAGGTGCCATCTGGCCCCTTCTTTCCTCCTGCTTGTCTGTTGCAGTACCTGGAACGCCAGCTGGTTCCATGGCTGGCATTTTGCAGAGGGCATCCGAGAGCCAAATCTAGTGTGGCTGAGAGCCCTCGGGCTGCAAACTTTCTAGTTCTCATCTGGGCTACACCACTTGTGACTGGTTCTCCTGGCTGAGGCCGGCTTCCCTCTGCCGTGAGTGCCTGCCAGTCCCCAGGCAGCCTGTAGGAGGTGCTCTCACCATAGAGGTGTGAGGTCGCTGGGCACACACGCCCGTCTTCCAGGGTGGTGCTACAAAGTGGCAGAGCTGAGGGAACTCCATCATCAGTATTAGGAAATTGTGAGGCTTCTGATTGCCAGCTTTTTGGGTTTGGAACAGTTTATTGTGGTCCTGATTGGTGTTTCTTTAGATTCCGGATGTGATGAGGATTTCTGTATATTCTGCGCAGCTTTCTTGGGGGCTGTGGCTGATTTTTTGTGACTCCTCTGCTTTTCTCTCACTGATATGGAGGGGTTCTTTGCACATTTTGGAGACCAGTACTTTGTTATCATTTACAGGAGTGGTGAATCTCTTTGCTTCTGTGGGTTTTTTTGTTTTTTGGTCGTACTGCGAATTGAGCCCAGGGAGCACCGAGCTACATGATAGCACATACCTGACATCTGAACATTCTGAGAGGCCGAGGCAGGAAGATTACAAGTTCGAGCCCAGTCTAGGCAACTTACTGAGACTGTCTCAAAATATCAAATAAAAGAGCTGGGAGTTGCGCGTGGTGGCACATGCCTGTAGTCCCAGCCCTCAGGAGGCTGAGGCAGGAGTTTCGACATGAGTTCTACCCCAGCCTGGGCTTCATAGTTCAAGGGCAGCTTGAATTACATAATGAGACCCTGTCTCAAAAAAAAAATACTGGGGATGTGGCTCAGTGCAAGGTGCGGGTTTACAGTTCGCAGCACCACCAAAATAATAAGGTTGCCAAGTTCTTACTCTGGAACTGATACCTGTGTGTGGCGAGGTAGGGATCCAGTTCTCGATTGGTTTTGGGTTTTAATTTTTTCTTTCTGCAAAGGCCTGGATGTCCTAGGCGAGCTTGTAGCCACAGGAGAGTCACAGGCCACAGCCCCTGACTTCAGGCCTGTTGCAGGGCTGGGTCGGGCTGGCGCCGCGGTGGGCGCAGGCGAGATCAAGAGGGAGGAAAAGGAGGACGAGGAGAACACGTCTGCGGCCGACCCGGCAGAAGAGGAGAGGAAGGAGCTGAAGGCCCCGCGCGCACGGACCAGGTGCCAGCCCCCTGCGCCCCGCGGCCCCCGCCCCCGCCCCCAGCCGCCACCCCGCCTCACTGTCTCCCTCTGGCCCCTGGCCCCCCTCCCTCATAGCCCAGACGAGGACGAGGACGACCTTCTCCCCCCAGAGCAGAAGGCCGAGCGGGAGAAGGAGCGCCGGGTGGCCAATAACGCCCGCGAGCGGCTGCGGGTGCGGGACATCAATGAGGCCTTTAAGGAGCTGGGGCGCATGTGCCAGCTGCACCTCAACAGCGAGAAGCCCCAGACCAAGCTGCTCATCCTGCACCAGGCCGTGTCAGTCATCCTGAGTCTCGAGCAGCAAGTGCGAGGTCAGTGGGCGCCGCTGGCGGCGTCCGCACCCCCTGCTCTGCTCGCCTTCCCTGCTTCAGAAGCACCCTGGTGACTGGCCCTGCCCACTGACTGGCCACACCTCCTCGCCACCCCTCCCCCTCTGATGGTAGCTGCACCACGCTGGCCACGCCCACCTTCATCCCTGCGCTCCGTGACCCCTTCCATTGGTCTATCCCTCACCCTGACCACCTTTCGCTGTCTCCACGCCTGCGCACAAGCACGCACGCGCTGACCTCTCCCTTGTAGTGACACTGTTCCCCGCCTCCACCCCAGCCACCTTCCCACCCCAGGACAGACCATCCCCTACCCTACTGACTGACAGCCCTCCCGCCTTGCCTGGCCTCAGTGACCCTCTGGGGTGGGGAAAACAGAACCGTGGGCCCCTCGGGCCTGGGTTATTTAGCTCACAACTGCGTCCCAGGACCCGGGTTCCTGCTTGCTGGCCATGCTTCTCGGGCATCAGTGTTCCCAAGAGCCCAGATGGGCAAACTGCTGTCTAAACCGCCTGGGCTGCATGTAGCACAAGGCCTTTCAAGCCTGGCCTGCCTTCTGACTCAGTTTCCCCATTTGCAAGTGGATTTTTGTTTCTCGGTGACGGGATGGAACCCATCTCGTGCATGCTCCCCAGGGTCTGTCCCCCTCCCCCATGTCGCAGGGCCAGGTGGGCATGGACATGGACGGTGAGGGCCCCGCCCTGTGACTAGCTCCTCCTATCTGCTGCCCGCCGCTTCCTTAACCTGCTCCTGCGCACCCCTTAACCTTTCTCTCCCACAGCCACTGCCACCCCGGCTCAGAGGTGACCGCGTTGCCCAAGCGGCGTATGTGTCTTGCCGCGCCCCTGCGCCTCCTCTCTGCTCTCTGTCTCCTCCCGCGCCGCCACCGCCTCCTCCTCGCAAGGCGGCCCCCCACCTCGCACTTGCTGCCGGCTCCTCGGGGCCCCCCCAGGTCCCCTTGCCTGGCGGGAAGGACAGCACCCGCACAGCCGGCCTCGGGGTCTCAGTTTGGTCTGCGCGCTTGTCCTGGGCTCCAGCAGTGCCTGAGGGCAGGCTGGGCAAGCAGAACGACTTGGTGCATCTCGGTGCCATGGTCACCCACACTGGGCCAGGCCACATCCATGGATTCCATGGGTGATGGGCACCAGCTCTGCCCGGGGGGTGGGGCACAAAGGCAGGGTAATGAGGTCATTTGTCCCTCTAGAGCCACACAGCTAGAAGGGCCCGGGGTAGGGCCTGTACCCCTGCAGGCAGGGGACGTCTGGTCCCCTGTTGTGTGTGCCCAGTAGGCGGGTCTGGCACCACGTGCCCAGTGACCCCAAGCTGCTGCAGAGGTCGTACTTGTGGCCTTGATAGTGATGTTTTTGGAGGTGAAAGCCGCACGCCTGCCCAGGGCCCTGAGGAACAGATGCGTTTCTGGGGACCACTCAAGGGACACAGGTCTCTGCTGTGAGCTGGCTCACCCCTGTGCCCCCTGGCTCAACATCCCAGGCCTCTCTTTTGGGGACCCGCTACTTCCAGGAGGGCAGGTCACCTTGCGCTGTCACCTGGCTCGCTCTGTCATTAAAAGTGCTCTGGAGAGGGAAGGTCGTCTCATAGGGGCAGGTCCAGGTCCCCAGATGAGGTCACACCCTCCCTTCACCAAAGTGCCACCCACAGCCACCACACCCCCACAGGGACATGTTCCCTGGACACCCAAGGGCACATTTCCAGGGTGTGAGCACAGTTCTTAAGCACAGGTCACAGTGCCCCACGTGGAGTCACGCACCCCAAACCATTGTCACTCACGCCCACCGCCCCTCCTACCGTTGTACCCCAACGCTAGCCGTTACCCAGTCTGCCACCCACACCTGTGGCCACCTCCACCGACACATCCACGGGTCCTCCTCCGTGCCCAGCCCTACCTGTGACTAATGGAGGCCCCGGTGCTGTGACCCAGCAGTACGGAAGAGGTGCTGTCCCTGGAGGAGAAGGACCTGAGGGACCGGGAGAGGCGCATGGCCAATAACGCGCGGGAGCGGGTGCGCGTGCGCGACATTAACGAGGCCTTCCGGGAGCTGGGGCGCATGTGTCAGCTGCACCTCAAGTCCGACAAGGCGCAGACCAAGCTGCTCATCCTGCAGCAGGCTGTGCAGGTCATCCTGGGCCTGGAGCAGCAGGTGCGAGGTAGGGTCCCCGGCCAGCGCGGATGGACGCACCCACCCTGTGGTCCCAGGTGCTCCATCACCCTGGAAGCCACAGAGCCCATCGATGAAGGCGGCTCCGCCACGTGCAGCACCCCCTCCCCTCCCGTCTTTGTCAGTCTCTTCTGGGAACCCACGCCTACCCCACTCTCCCCTCCCCCTCAGAGCGCAACCTGAACCCCAAAGCTGCCTGCCTGAAGCGACGAGAAGAGGAAAAGGTGTCAGGCGTGGTCGGGGATCCCCAGATGGTGCTTCCGGCTGCCCACCCGGGCCTCAACGATGCCCACAATCCCACTGGGCACATGTGACAGGGATACGACGAGGGACCAGTCTCACTTCGGGGCACCTGGCGCAAATTTCGCTGGAAGGATCCTGGAGTCCATCCGCGGGCCTGCCCTGAGGTTCCACACCGAGGGCTGACTGGAGCTCACACCAGCCCCCGATTCTCCCAGGACGGCCTGAAGGGGACAAAAGGGTCCAGGCAACCTGGCCCACTATTGTGGCCACCTTATCCAACGCTGGCTGGCCACTTGCCCCACAGATCCTGGCGCTGCATCTTGGCCCCAGGGACTGGGCTGGAAGGAGCAGTTTTTTTCCTTTTTCTTTTTTTTTTGGGGGGGGGTGGTGTAAACAAGACCAGAAACCAACAAAATATACACTTTGTCAGAAAAGAAAAAATGCCTTAAGTATATAAAATCGTGGAGGACTCACATCACTCCAGAGGAGGGTGACCCTGCAAAGCTGGCTTTTTCGAAAGCCATCAGCAAATCGTGCCTAAGCGTATTTTTTTTAAGGAGAGTAAAAAGAACATTAGTTATGAGGGGTTTTTTCTAATGTAGGAGAAGAATTAGCAAGGATGTTGCCTTTGGTCTTTTTTTTTTTTTTAAGCTTTCTTTTGCATATGTTTTATAAGCAACAAACTTTTTTGTATGAAAGTCTCGTGTCTCTTGCTGTTTCTAGAAGTGAGCGGTGCATTTCATGATCAACCAGATTATTAAAAGTATTAAAAAGACCCAATGTCGACCTCAGGTGCCCCCACCCCACGCCTGTTACCCTGGAAGTACTCAAACAGCCCTGTGGCCGCGTCCCTTCTGCATTCCCAGATGGCAAGACTGTCTTTCCTGTATGCAGGCAGGACTTTTCCCAGTGGGTCGCTTCCCTAGCCGCTCCCTCCCTATCTCAGGGACAGGGTGCCCCCAAAGGCTTCTGAACCCCAGCTGGGGAGGAAAGAAATGAAAGCTCCAAGGATCCCCCAAAGCAGCTGCCCCACTTGGTCTCCCAGGACCCTGAGCCCATCTCTTGTGAGCCCACCACGTGCCCCGCCCTAGCTCAGACTGGGAACATTGGAGGAGGAGCTGTGGCTTGGGGACCAGTAGAACACACTGCTACCTCACCCTCTCCTGTCCCTCCCTCACTTGAGCACCATGCTGGTGCGGAGTTGGCTGGGACTTGTCAGCCTCCTTATGGGGCCATTGGGAGAGGAGGCACAGCAGGGTTCCTGTCCCCAGGAGGACCCCCAGGCTGCACATCCCGCTACACTGACACTCAGGAGCAGAATGAAATTGGGCTGCTCCGGGGGCTGGAACAGGAGGATCCCCATGAGTGAATGTGTGGCTGTTCTATGATCTGGGACCCCGTGTCCGAAGCTCAGTGTTGGAAACAGGATCCTGTCCTGGAGAAGGTGATCGAGAAGCAGGGCCAGCTCCCAGGATACTGCATGGGGCTGAGGTACTGAGCGTAGTGGAGATGCCAAGGCGTTGGGTCCTCGGGGCCCGCGGTTGCAGAGCTCACAAGTCTTCCCTGCACTGTTGCTGGCTTCTCAGTTCCCCTACTCCCACCCTTACTCCCCTCTGCTGCCCCAGTCAAGGCATGCCACTGCGCTTCGTCTGAAGCCTCCCATGGCTCCCTGTCGCCAAAGGCGTCAACACCACACTCCTAAGAGGTCCACTCAAGACTCCTCCAGAACCTGACCCCTGCCAACCACAGGCTCCTGGTGAGGTGAGTTGCCGCAGGTGCTGTTGGATCCGTCTCTATTTGTTTGCCAGGACCTGGGGCCTCCTGTGTGCAGAAATCACAGCTGGACTTGGTCCTCCCCTCTCAGGAGTGTAGGGATGAGCTCCTGGCCACTCAAGACCAAAGTACCCTGCTGCCTGCCAAAAGGGAGGCAGTGAGGCCAGGAGCAGACTGGGCCACTGCGCCCTGTCCCTCAACTCACAGTCATGTCTGAAATGATGCTGGAAGCTGAGCATGGTGGCACACACTTATCATCCCAGCACTTTGTAGAGGCTGAGGCTAGGGCATTGAAAGTTTGAGCCCAGCCTAGGAAATTTAACGACTTTAGTGAGACCCTGCCTTGAAAGAAAGGAAGGAAAAAGGAAGAAAAGCTGAGGATGTAGCTTAGTGTGAATGCCCTGGATTCAACTTCTAGTACTGTAAAGTAAATGAATGCAATAAATATAGATGGTGGGAAAGTGTTTTTGTTCCCTCAGTGACGTAGTAAATGAGACATGTTCAGGTTGCAAACACAAAAAATGAGATAGGGTGACAGGAGGGATAGTGCTTTCATTGGGACATGGAGGCTGGCTTGTTCCCTGGGGTACAGTGTCCTGGGCACTGCAAGGTGCTGAGCAGTGTCTCTGGCCTCCACCTACTCCATAGCAGGAACAAGAAACACCCCCCAGTTGTGACCACCACAAATGTCCCCAGGTAGCACCCAGGGTTCTCTGGAGGCAGAAGTGCCCCTGGGATGAACTCCGTTTTATCATGCCACCCTTGGTTCAGGTGCCAGCATTTCACAAAAGTGGAAGCAACTAGGCCAGGAAGCTTCAGGAACTGCAGAACCTGGGACCTGCAGCCCTCAGGCCCTGTCCCCATCTCTGTTCTCCATCCAGGTGACTTTTTCTCTCCCTTCTTCATAGTCTTTGTGACAGCTTCTACATCCCACTTTTTAAGTTTCTACCACTAGACACAATCTTATTAAGGTGCTCCCTGATTCCAAGCCCCCCAAACCTCAGGACACCCGGAAAGATCTAGGGATAACATCCAGCCTGGTAGCAACAAGCAACCTGGTACCCACACTCGCTACCTCTACCCTGGGCGTTGGCCAGGAAACAGGCAGGTGGAGCACCGCAGGACCAGCTGGTCAGGGCTGGACAGGCAAACTCAATGGACTGTCCCTTACCACCAAGGCCTGTTGTGACGCTGGCCCAGTTCTCTAGATAAGGAACCCCCAACCCCCATCCTTTATCCCTATCCCCATATTGGGAGTTGAATTCAGGCCCTTTGCACTGAGCTACATCCCCAGCCTTTTTTTTTTTTTTTTTTTGGTACCGGGGATGGAACTCAGGACCTTGCGCTTGCGAGGCAGGAGGCGGCACCACTGAGCTAAATCCCCGGCCCAAAATATTTTAAATTTTGAGGCAAGGTCTTGTTAAATCACCCAGGCGGGTTCTAACTTGTGATCCTCCTGCCTCAGCCTCCCACAGAGTGCTGGGATGACAGGCACCCGCCACCGCACCCAGCCAGGCTGTGACCTTTCTATCCATACTGTCCAGGTGTCTGGGGCTTAAGCAACCCCAGGGGGCTTTTTTTTTTTTTTTTTTGGTACTGGGGATCGAACTCGGGTCCTTGCTTTGGCGAGTTAGGCGGCGGAACCACTGAGGTAAACCCCCGGCCCTCCCAGGAGGCTTTCTGTCGGAGGAAGCACTGGATGGAAACGAGGAAAAGCCGCCTTGGTACGCTGGCTGCTGGCCATCTAGGAGCTCGTCCCTGTTCTTTCAGCCTACACCCGCCGTGCGTGTGAGTTGGGGCTGGAAGCTGACGGTTTACTGAGCTATGTAACAAGTTCAGGAGGTCGGAAGAAACCTGGACTGCAGGAAGGACAGGCTAGCACAGCAGCAGGAAGCTGCGATGTCTAGGGACCTGTCAGACGAGAGACTCTCGCGAGACCTCGGTCTCCCTCTGCTGCCGGCAGGAGGAATTGCCAGCGCTCTCCTAACAAAATGTGCAATTTCCGAACGGGCCTCCAAGGGCTCAGAATGAGCGGGCTGGGACACTGCCATTTGGCCAGAGTCCCGCGGCGAGTCCGTGACAAACCCTGACACCCCCCCCCCAAGTGGGCTCAATTCAAATCTCAGCCCTCCCCTTCTGTGTGATTCTGGACAAGTCCCTTCTCCATTTGCCCTCAGTTCTCTTCACCGTAAAAAACGCTGGCACTAAGTTGCAGTACAAAGTCACCGCTCAATTGTTCTGGGACATCTGGAGTCAGCCGCAGGCCACAGCGCAGGAAAGGGCCACTCTGGCCCGTAGAGGAGACACAACCCTTCGCGACACGTGTCCGGATGACCCGCCCACCAACAGAGCGTCTACTAACGTGTTCAGACCATCCCCGGAAGTGACTATAAATGTTTTCCGGGCCTGCGCGCGCAGCCGTACGGCGGAGCTGCGCAGGGCCCTTTGGGCGCAAGCGTGCTGTGCCTACGCTTGCGCAGTGCGGCCGGTCCGCCCGACAGGGTGACCCCGTTAGCGGACGGAGCTGCGATGTTGACCAGGTTCCTGGGCCCGCGCTACCGGGAGCTGGCCAAGAACTGGTGAGGATGCTGCCCGCAGCCTCAGCCCCAGCCATCCCCTGGCTGCTTCGGGCGCCGGTTCGGGGTCCCCTGCTGTGCCGGATGACAGAGTGGGAAACTGACGCTAGTACAGACGAACCTGTCTGTCCCAGCGCCAGCCGAAGGTGGCGAATTCGAGGCTAGACCCGGCACCCTTCCCCCGGCTCTGAGCCCCTCGAGCCTCAGTTTCCCCACCTTTACCTGGAGAACCTGGCAGTGCTAACCTCGATGGAAATTCCGGAAGGCGCCAGCGCTCCCCAGGTTCCCGAAACTCCGAGCCCGACACCACCCTGAACCCTTTTAATGTTTTATTTTGAGACAAGGTCTCGCTGAGTTGCCCAGGCTGGGTTAGAACTTGCAGTTCTCCTGCCTCAGCCTCTCAGAGTGTTGGGATTACAAGTGTGCGGCACCATACCTGGTTGATTTTGTTTGGTACGGGGAATCGAACACAGGCCTTGCGCTTGCGAGACAGGCGGCAGAACCACTGGGCTAAATCTCCGGCCCTGTTTGTTTTTTGAGGCAAGGTCTCGCTCTGTAATTCAAGCTGGTCTTGAATGCACTGTGTAATCCAGGCTGGCCTTGAACTCGTGGCAATCCTCCCGCTTCAGCCTCCCGAGGGCTGGGATCACAGGCATGTGCCACCACGCTGAGTGTCAAATTATTATTTTTTGGTGGGGGAGAAGTGTCAAATTATTTTTTTTTAAAGATATATAGGAAGTCGGGCCAGGGATTTAGCTCAGTGGTTCTGCCGTCTGCCTCACAAGCACAAGGTCACAAGTTTGATCCCCGGTACCAAAAAAAGAAAACAACAAAAGATATATAGGAAGTTTATTGGGTTTTTTTTTTTTTGGTACCAGGGATCGATCTCGGGTTCTTGTGCTTACGCAGCAGGCGGCAAAACCACTGAGCTAAATCTCCGGCCCTGTCAAATTATTTTTAACAAGGTACATGAAACTAGTTTCCACATGGGAAACGGGATCAGATTGATGTGGCCCCTCGTGGGAGGCAGGATGGGAGTGACCTCAGGGAACACATACTGTCCACACAGGATGCTAAGAAACCAGGGCTTATTTCTAGAAGAGCAGTCATGTCTGGACAGTGAGGCTGGTTGGTAGCATTTGGGTTAGGAATTCCCTGGTGTTAGCAAGTGGGGGAGGGGAGAGCAGGACACAGGTGCCCTGCAGCCCTGTCACAGCAGCTCTGACTTTCAGAGGCCAGGAAGCTGGCCTCCACAGGAGTTGCTGTGAGCTTGTGTCTGAGCCCAGGGACTTTCAGGGTCTCTGCTCACCTACTGGTCATGTTGAGACTCAACCTGGCTGACTCCCAGTGTCCTGGTCTGAGAACAGAGAGGCAGGGTTTTGTGGGGTGGTCAGTATGGCCATTACTTGTGTCTTTTCTCAATACCTAGTGGAGTCAGGTTCACACTGCATGTCCCCAGTCCCTGTGGAAGTGAGCAGGACAGTGAGGGAAATAGAGGCTCATCAGCCCAGCAATTTACCCACAAAGGAAGCTTCCTCTGATGATAACTGTTGCATGACGGGCTAAAGACTCCACTGTGTTGGTAACCTCTGCCCCATCCGAAGTGCAGTGGCAGCAGCAATCGGAAACTCCTGTGTGGGCCATTAGCGGTGAGCAGGGGTCTGGCCTGTGGATGGGGCTTGTCTGCAGTGAGGTGGCTGGGGCAAGGGTGATGTGTCCCCTTGTCACCTCAAGGAGAAGTACCTCCGACATGCAGTGTTTTGGTTCACTGTGACCCCATGAGGTGGGGGCAGAGGTTTAAATGCCAGCCTCCTCTGGGCAGCAATGAGATTTTTTTTTTTTTTTTGGTACCAGGGATCGAACTCGGGTCCTTCTGCTTGTGAAGCAGGCAGCGAAACCACTGAGCTAAAATCCCCAGCCCAAGCAATGAGATTGTTACAGTTACCCACAGCTGCGTAAGAAGCCACTCCAGAGCATAGTAGCTTCAAACAGCAATGTATGCTGGCACAGTGGTGCACATGTGTAATCCCAGCTGCTGTAATCCCTTCTGCTGAGGCAGAAGGATTGCAAGTTCAAGGCCAGCCTGGGCAATTTAGCAGGACTCTGTCTCAAGAAAGGGCTAGGGCCAGGGATTTAGCTCAGTGGTGTTGCTGCCTGCCTTGCAAGCGCAAGGTCCTGAGTTTGATCCCTGGTACCAAAAAAAGAAAAGAAAGAGCTGGGGATGTAGCTAGTGTGTAGGCCCTGGCTTCAATCCCCAGTATTATTTTTTAGAAATTAAAAAGGCAGGGGTTGTCATTCGGTGAGTTCTACCCCCAGTTTTGTTTTGTTTTTGGTACCGGGGATTGAACTCAGGGTCTCGTGCTTGCAAGGCATGCAGCAGAACCACTGAGCTAAATCCCCAGCCCCCATCCCCAGTTCTTAAACAGATCAGAGTGACGGGGCCAGGTGACCTGGATCTGACTGAAGACCCCTGAGGCCAGGCAGCCTGGGTGGGTCACCAGCTGCACTAGGATCCAGTGTTACCTGCCCTATTTCTGTCCTGTACCTCCCTTGGCATTGGGCAGGGGCCAGACCCATGTTGGAGCCTGACAGACTGTAGCTTGGGGGTCAGAGGGCTCCCAGGTGTTTGGACAGCAAGGGGTCCTGGAGGATGTGTCCTGAGCAGGGCCCAATTGTCACTCTCCTTGCAGGACCCCGACGGCCACCATGTGGGGTGCTGTGGGCACCGTGGGACTGGTGTGGGCCACCGACTGGCGGCTGATCTTGGACTGGGTACCTTACATCAATGGCAAGTTTAAGAAGGATGATTAGTCAGCTGCCCCTTGTGGAACCCTCTGGTGAGTCTCAACCTAGCTTGAAGCCCCTGGGCCTGGCCTGGTGGCATTGTTGAGCCCAGTGGTGGTGGCTGGAGGAAGAGGAGCGGGGGTCTGCAGGATACTGGGATGGCCCACCCAGAAGGTTCTGCACAGAGGCCAAGCTCAGAGCCCAGCACAGTGGTGCATGCTTGTCATCCTAGCTACTCAGGAGGCCGAGGCAGGAGGATCCCAAGTTGGAGCTCAATTCACATCCTGCTTTATTTAGAAAAAATAAAAAGGGCTGGAGTTGTAGCTCAGTGGTGAGCGCTTTTGTAGCATGTGCAAGACACTGGATTCCATCCTAGGAAAGACTAGGTGGTACTCGGACACCTTCTGCTGTGTGGCCAAGAGGTGGCTGGAAGGATGGGGTGTGACCTGGGCAGCCCCCCAGGCCTAGAGGCTGAGCAGTGCTTGCAGCCCTGTCTTGGGCAGGACTAGGATGCCCATTTTACAGTGGGGTAAGTCAAGCCTGACCCACAGCTGTTGGGCATTAGGTGAAACTCCGGGGTCAGCTGTGTGTTTGCCTACTGCATGTGGCTGTGCTATCTGCTCTGCCTTGTCATTAGCTCATTGCACATGTGGCAGTCCCATATGGGCACCACTCATCCCCATTCACAGACAGGGACCTCAGCCCCATAGCCCTCATTGAGGCTGGGCCACAGTCTGGCTCTAGGGCCATCCACCTCTCCATCCCTGGATCCCAGATCCACTGCCCTTCTGTGTGGCTGGAGTCCCTGGCCACTTGTGGGAGACCCTCTGCTCACCCTGCCTTGTCCCTTCCCCAGGTGTCTGGTGGTCCCAGATGCTCCCACCGCAGTGCCCCTGTGTGCAGAGAGCCCCGAGGACGGACACCAAGGACACCCACAGCACAGCCTGGGACTTTCTGTGCTGCTGAACAGTTTTGATATTTTAATGCACAGAGCATTAAACCTTTACTCTCAAACCTCCCCTGACTGGACCTTGATCGTGACAGTGACCTGATGCTCTTGACCAGTGCCACCAAGTCTCAGGTGACCGAGGGCTCCCTTCAGCTCCACAAGTTTGTAAACTAAGAGGGTTTTCCAGTTGCTGGCACAAGTTGCTTAAGTGTTTAAAATATTAATGGATCATGGGCTGGGGATTTAGCTCAGTGGTTCCGATGCCTGCTTCGCAAGCGCAAGGTCCTGAGTTCGATCTCTGGTACCAAAAAAAAATATTAACGGATCAGCCAGGCCGAGACGGGGGATCGAAAGTTCTAGCCCACCCTGGGCAACTTAGCGAGACTCTGTAAAAGACAGCTGAGAACATAGCTCAGTGCGAAGGGCCTGGGTTGCATCCCCAGTACCACATGCTCACAACATGAACGGATGATAGCTGCACAGTAGATTCATCTATTGCTGTGCAACAGTTTTGCCCATATCTGCAGTGGTGTAGGAGAGCAGACATTCACCACTTCCCAGTTTCTGTGGGTCAGGGATTTGGAGGGAAGTAGCTGGGTAGCTGGGGCTCCAGGTCTCTCCTGAGGGAACCAGCGCTGCTCTGCATGGGCTGCAGGAGTCTGTGTCTTCTGTGGCTATGGCAGAGGGCTGAGCCTGCTCACAGTGGCACCGACTTCCTCACAGAGAGGGAGGAAGCCTCCGGGCTTTCAGGACCCAAGCTTAAGAAGGCTCATGATGTCATTTCCTTCCCATCTGAGTCCAGCCCACACTCAAAGGGAGGAGGGCTGGGGTCTTTTTTTTTCCTTTCACAGTGCTGGGGGTGAAACACAGGGTCCCTCAAATGCTAGGCAGCTGCCCACCACTAAACCACACCCAACCTCAGATACTTTTCAGTGTTGGTGATGGAACCCAGGGCTAGCCAGGAGCTCTCCACTGAGGACCGTATACCCCAGTCCTGTTGGGGTTTTTTGGTTGCTTTTTGGTGGTACTGAGGATTGAACCCAGGGCCTTTGCACTAATCTATATCCCCAACCTTTTAAAAAAAATGTTTAAGACCGGGACTGGGGATTTAGCTGAGTGGTTCTGCCGCCTGCCTTGCCAAGTGCAAGGTCATGAATTCGATCCCTGGTACCAAAAAAAAAAAAAAAATTTTTTTTAAGACAGGGTCTTACTTAGCTTCTAAATTGCTCAGGCTAGGTTTGAACGTGTGATCCTCTGGCCTTAGCCTCCCCAGGTGCTGGACATATGAGTATCACCACACTCAGCAGCCCAGGCTGGCCTCAACCTCACAGCAATCTTCCTGCCTCAGCCTTCCAGAGTGCTGGGGTTATAGGCGTGCACCACCACACCCAACTTGGAAGGTGGTTTTCGGGGTCAAACTTCCATGATCCAACACCTCAAAACCATCAGGATGTTTATCGTAGAAGAAAAAAATAACAAGTGAGGGCCGGGGATTTAGCTTAGTGGTTCCATCACCTGCCCTGCAAGTGCAAGGACGCGAGTTCGATCCCCAGTAACAACAAAAAAAAATAACAAGTGTTAGTGAGAACCCAGAAGAATTGGAACCCTTGTACACTGCTGGTGGGAATGTTAAATAGCAGCCTAGTGGTTCTTCAAATGGCAAATGGTTATATACAGAGTTAACAAAATATCCAGCAATGTCACTCTAAGTGCCCCATAGACCCAAAGCAACTGAAAACACGGTCTCAAGATATTTGCCCACCTGTGTGTATAGATAGCAGCATTCATCACAACAGCCCCAAAGTGGGAGCAACTCAAGCAAGTATTGAGTGAATAAATGTGGTCCATCTCTACAATGGAATACTACTCAGCCAGATAAAAGCAGGGAATCCTGACACCTGCCACAGCAAGGATGGACCTTGAGGCCCTGTTCCTTAGGGAGCCGAGCTACACACAGGAGGACAAGCACCACAGGGTCCCACTCCCAGGAGATCCCAGCACCATCAGATCCACAGGGACAGGAAGGAGGATGGTGGTACCAGGCTGAGAAAGGGATGGGAATCAGCATTTCCTGGGGACAGAGCTCAGTTTGGAGAGATGGAAAGTTCTGGAGGTGGGGGGGTGCACAGCACAGCCAGGGTATGCACTTATATTAATGCCCCTGAACTGTGCAGTTAAAAATCCTACAACTGAGGGCCGGAATTTAGCTCAGTGGCTCCGTACCTGCCTTGAAAACACAAGGTCCTGAATTCGATCCTCGGTATTGGAAAAAAAAAAAATCCTACAACTGATCCCCCACTGTGCAGGTTCTCCACATCATCCAGCAGAAAGGTCCTCATTGCCTGTTTCTGCACATAGAACCCTAGACAGTAAGCAGAGAGCTTGCTGTGTGAACCCCCAAATCCACAGGAACCCAGGGGACCCAGTGAGCCTAGCAGGTGGTAGGGTCAGAGATCCTTTTTATTTAGCCAGGTCCTGTGCAGCAAGAGCCGTCATCTCACCAGTCTTCCACTCTAACAGTCTGTGGGCACACTCAGTGACAGGCACTGTTCTATAGGGTATAAACCATCACTTCTGTTGCTCCAATTGTCCTGTTTGGCCACCAGGAGCCCCTTACCATGGGCCCCTGTACCTGAGGCATCTATTATCTTTTAGAATTAATGTAAAATTCACATAACAACTAGGTGTGGTCATGCACGCCTATCATGCCAGCATCTGGGAGGCTGAGGCAGGAGGATCATAAATTCAACTCAGTTGAGGATGTAGCTCAGTGTGAAGCCTAGGTTTAATCCCCAGTACACCATACGAACTTCCCTTTCAGTCAGACAGGTGCGTCTTCTCATTGCTTGTTTCACCAAATTCCAGCAATGAGTCTGGGCTGCTCCTTCCTGGCTCTGAGTCCCAAGTACAGACACATTGTGTCCCCAGCAGTGCTGGCCCCTCTTCAGCTCACCCCTCTCAGTGTTTTGCCCTGGGGCTCTGGGGCTCTAACCAGCCACTGAGCATCTCGGGAGACAGCCTGGGCACAAGGATCGATGCTCTGCCCTCTCAGGTAGGAGGAGAGAACCCACCTTCCCAGAGCAGCAGTGCCCTGGGTGAGTTGTTGGGGATACAGGGGATGTAGGGTGGGTGAAGTCCATCATTCACCCGTCCAAGCCTCCCACACCTGCCTCTCCACTTCCAGCCTATGGTATTAAGTGCTTGGAGGTGGCAGAATGGTGCCCCTTAAGTGGTCCTTGTGCTGATCCCCTGAACCTGTGGATGCCTCACCTTCCGTGGCCCAAAGGACTTTGCAGTCGGGATTAAGGACTTTGAGGCAGGTGATTATCCCGGATTAGTGCTGAATAAAATGTACAGATGGTCACTGGTTTAGACTGCGCTCCAGCACCAGGCGCACAGACTGGAACAATTAGGGCTCAGGCTAACAGTTCCAGGGCACAGCGCTGTGAAATCAAGTTTATCTGATTTTTCCTAGAAGGCAGGAGAGAGAGATAACAGCTGAATCACCAAAGGAGCCAGTTGTAGCTGGCTGGACCAGGAAATCCCCTCTGCTCTAACCAGTACGGGGAAAAGGAACTTTGAAATGACCATTGATTCTCCTTCTTGGGCCTTCTGCTGTCTACAGAGCCAGATTCTCTGCTTTGGGCCAGGGATTTAGCTCAGTGGTTCCCTCGCCTGCCTCGCAAGCTCAAGGTCCGAGTTCAATCCTCAGTACCAAAAAACAACAACAACAAAAAAACAAGGGCCGGGGATTTAGATTTAGCTCAGTGGTTTTGCCGCCTGCTGAGCAAGCGCCAGGACCCGAGTTAGATCTCCAATACCAAAAAACAAAAACAAAAAAAACCAAGGAACCACCAGGGGTGGGGCCTATTGTCCCAGTGCCCTGGGAGGCTGAGACAGGAGGATCCCAAGTTAGAGTCCAGCCTGGGCAATTTAGTGACTTAGCAGAGACCCTCAAAATTAAAAATCAAAAACAAACACCCCCCCACACACACACACCTTCAGGTGGAGGATCCGCAGCTGAGGAAGGCAATCATTTCTTTTCCTTTTGTTTTGTTTTTGTTACCAGGATCGAACTCCCCGGCCCCTCTTTTCCTTTTTTGTATTGGGGATTGAATTCAAGGCATTCACAATGAGCTACATTCCCAGACCTTTTTATATTTTTTTAAATTTTGAGACGTCTCGTTAAATTGCCCAGTCTGGGCTCGAATTTGGCGATCCTTCTGCCTCAGCCTCACAGCATGCTAAGATGACAGGCGCGCCCCAAACCTGGCTGGATTCCAGAATTTTGAGAGATCAGCACAGTATGGCCTGGGTTACATCTTCAACACAGTAATAAAAATAAAACTTTGGGGTACGGTGTGCAGTGGTCGCTGACAGACCCGTAATTTGGGAGCCCATGAGGCTGGGAGCCCAGGGGACGGGGGAATAGAGGTCTGGGCGCTGGACTGGTACCCGAGTGTCCGGTGGAAGAAGGGCTAGGCAGGCAAGTGGCGCAAGGACTCAACGCCAGGCGCACTCCGGGCAGAGGGAGCCAGTGGCAGTCGAGAGATCTGGCAAGGAGCTGAACGCGCCGGAGCAGGGGCTTAGCCGGCTGCACCATGAGGAGGACTAGGCACCACGAGCCGAAGGAAGCCAGGTCCGCCTAGGACAGCGCGTGAATGTCTAGAGCGCACGCGCGCCTGGTCCGGGGGCCTGCCCCCTTGGCACACGTTGATTGGCGTCTCCGCCACTGGGGCGGGATCTGCTGCCAGGCGGAGGCGGGGCCTACGCCGCGGCTGCGCAAATGGGCCCCCGCGCGGGCGGGTGGGCGGAGCGGCCCCCCGAACGGGGGCTGGCGAGCGCGGGGAGGGGGCCGAAAGGGCGGCAAAGCCGGCGCACGCCCGGCTGGGGGCGGAGGGCGGGGGTCCGAGGGCCGGAACAGCCGCGGTAAGTGGCGGTGGTGGAGGCAGCTGAAGCGGCGGCGGCGGCGGCGAGCGGGGGTCGCAGCGGCGGCGGCGGGCCCGGAGCCGGGCCGAGGAGCCGGGCGCGATGGAGCGGAAGAGGTGGGAGTGCCCGGCGCTCCCGCAGGGCTGGGAGAGGGAAGAAGTGCCCAGAAGGTCGGGGCTGTCGGCCGGCCACAGGGATGTCTTTTACTATAGGTGAATGAGCGCGCCGGCCGCGCAGGGCCCCAACGGGCGCCTCCCAGCGGCCTCTGCGGTGGCCTGGGCGCCCCTGCCCCGGGCAGCGGCCTGGGCCGTGCGTCGTGCGTGCGAACGTGCGTCGTGCGTGGGAGCGTGCTTGCCCGACGCGCGGCGGCGCCGTGCGCGTGCGCAGTGCATGGCGCGCGTCCGCTGGTCTCCCGGGCTGGCTGCTGTGGTCTTTGTCCCGGCGCCTGTAGGGAACGTGCGCGCTGGGCGAGGGGCGCTCAGCTGCGTCCAGACGCTGCTGGGAGGCGGGGGTGGGGGCTGGGCTCTCCCTTTGATGTCCCTGTGGGGAACTTCTCGGGCTTCGCGGAGCCCAGGGCGGGTGGCCAAGCCGGGGTTTGGGGGAACAAGTCTCATTCCGGGGGACCGGAGAGGGTGTGCTTAAAATGTAAACACACGAGCCCATCCCAGTCGTGGGGATGGGCTTCTTAGGGTGCGTTTAAGGGACACCTCGCTCTTGGGCATGTTCCAACGGCGCTGTCCCAACGTTGGTCGCCCCCTCTAGGCCAGAGACCGGATACGGTGACTGTCGGAGCCCTGTAAATATTAGCCTTTGTGTTGATGCCTCGGGAGTCCGAGGTTTTCAGAGGCTCCCGTGTCCCAAATTGGGAAGTGGCTGATCTTGGCCTGGGAAGAATGGCAGGGCGCAACAAAGAGTCGCCCGCTTTCATCTCAGCACAGACGGACAGCCACCTGCTGTTTGTCTTCTCACCTCTTTTCATTGACCCACTCCCCTTCGGTGGTGCTGGCGTTGGAACACATGGCCTCACACTCGCCACTGAGTGCCACCTCCCCCCCCAGCCCGGAAGTTGCTTTTGATTCTGAGCCAGCTTTCCGTGTTAGTCTTCCATTGCTTCAGTGTCAGGGCACCTGCTGAGTGCTATGGGTGCAGCCGAGAGTGGGAGAGAAAGGGGTGCTGCTTAGTGCTCTGGGCTTGTTATTTGTTGTCCTGGTTTGGGGAGATAAAGTGAGGGCGACTTAGTTTTTAAGTGTGGCTTTTCCAACAGGCACAGGTTCTGGTTTCAAACAAGCCCAGGAGCAGCAGGGGGATGTAGTGATGTTTTCCCTAAAGCTGTACCATAACTGGCTGGGGCCCTGTCGTGTCGGTCATTGAGTAGTGGGGCTTCAAGCACTGTGTGTCTTAAGGACATGCTACATTCCCTTCACTGCCCTGTTCCTCCTCCTGTGACTTCCCTCCCTCCTGGCTCTTCAGAAAGCTGAAAGCCTTGGGGCCTTGCTTTCCAGGCTAGGGTCTGCCAGAGCCAGCTCCAGATCCATCTTTGTGCTTCAGTCTTCCTTGTGGACACAGAAGCCTCACAGTTCCTTTCTGTCCCTCTGGTCCTTTATAAATTTTTTTGTTTTGTGTTTTTGAGACAAAGTCTCACTGTGTAACCCAGTCTGGCCTTGAACTCAGGTGATCCTTCTGCCTCAGCCTCTTTAATGCTGGGATTACAGGCATGTGCCCCATGCCTGGGCTTTGTTAAATTAATCCCTCAGTGTCTGCCAGCTCTGGGCACTGCTGGCACCCTGGCCATTCAGTGGGTATTGAGAGTGCCCCTCCCCTTGTGACATTCAGAACAGCAGCCGTTTCCCCATGCTCTGAGGGTACGGGAGAGTGGATGATAGCAGGGTGTCTGACTGAGGAGATCTGGGAGGCCCCCTCTGGGGAGCTAACAATGGAACAGCAAGGAGCTGTCTGACCTGCCTGTGTAGATAGCCTGGGGAGGCTGAGAGCTGGCTGCAGCCTGGGAGCAGAGCCAAGGCCCAGTTGGTCAGTGTCCTGAGATGTCATCTGCCCCTCAGTCCCCACCTGCCCTGGAGCTTCATGGGGCCTCACATCCAAACTGCCCTAGGTGTGCAGGCCTGGGGTTCCTCATCCAGGGGTTTGACCGTGGGGTGACTGCACTTTCCTGAGTAGGTGGAAGAGCTCAGTCTATAGCGCTCAGGTTTTTCTATACACATAATTGTATTAAATCTGTTTGTTTTTCATTCAATAAAATATCAGGGATATCTTTTTGTGTCAATACACCTGCATAACCTTTTTCAAAAATTGAGATATAACCAGGCATGGTGGCACACATCTGCAGTCCCAGCACTTGGGAGGTTGAGGCAGGAGAATCACAAGTTCCAGGCCAACCTGGGGTACATAGTGAATTCCAGGCAAGACTGGACTACATAGTGAGAACCCATCTGAATAAAACAAAACAAAAACGATATAATTCTCCCAAAATCATTTCTTTATGTGGACAACACAGTACATTCAAGACATCAGTGTCTTTCAGAAAATTCTCATCACCCCTAAGAGCCTTGTTGCTATGAGCCACCACTCCCTGTTTTCCCCTTTTCCCTAGCCTCAATTAAACCATCTGGCATGTACTTTTTTTTTTTTTTTGAGATGGTCTGACTGTGTAGTTCAGGCTGGTCTCATAGTTGAAGCAATCCCCCTGCCTCAGCCTCTAGAGTGCTGGGATTATAGCTATGCAGTACCATTCCCAGCTGGCATTTACTTTTTCTTTTGTTTGGTACCGGGAATCAAACTCCGGACCTTGTGCTTGCCAGGCAAGCACAGCACCATTGAGCTAAATCCCTGGCCCTCTGGAATTTACTTTTTTTAAAACATCTTTACAAGATATGGCTCACCCATTTGAAGTGTGCTGACCAGTGGTTTTTAGCATATTCTTGGATTTTCAGATGTGTGGAGCTATGATCACATTCTGTTTAATTTTTAAATTTTTTTATTTTTGTTTTTTTAAGACAGGGTCTCACTGTGTAGCTCAGGCTGGCCTTGAACTCAGTATATAGCCCAGGCTGACCTCAAATTTCCAGTGATCTTCCTACCTCAGCCTGCTGAGTGCTGCAGTTACAGGTGTGTGCCACCACATGTGGCCCAGATTCTGTTTTAGAATGTTTGTAACTCCAGAAAGAAAACCCAGAGTCTTGGTTTTTTTTGAGTTGCCCAGACTGGGCTCAAAATTGTGATCTCTGCTGCTTCTGCTTCCCAGAGTACTGGGATGACAGGAATGTGCCACTGAGCACTGAGCCCAGCAACCCTGGGCCCTTTTTTTTTTTTTGGTACTAGGGATCAAACTCAGGACCTTTTCGCTTGCAAGGCAGACAGCGACACCACTGAGCTAAATCCCTGGCCCTGGGCCCTTTTAATTTCCAGTGTCCCCAGCCCCTAAGCAAGTTCTATTTCTGTGTCTTCCCGTTGCCAGTGACAGGAGGGAAAGTACTGGTGGCCAGTGTTTCATGGGGCCCTTCCTTGTGACTGTGTTTGAAGCCAAATCAGGGCCTTGGGGGTCTTTGCATTACCCTGAGGGTATGAGCTGGAGATTGAACCCAGGGTGGTCACACTGAGCTACATCTCCAGCTTTTTTTTTTCTTTTTTTTAAACACTGTGAAAGCTTTATATGCACAATTTATATAAGACAGTTCTGAGACTTAGTGTCCACTGAGAGGAGACAGAGCCTTTTCTCTCAGTGCTGGTGCTGAAATGTAAATAAAGTCGCAGCCTGGGTTTATGAGCTATTGAGTAGATATCACATTGCCCCTATCTTGGTCACTATGACCTTTGGGAAGAAGCATTTTCCTGATCCACAGCACCGCAGCCCTCAAGGGTACTTCAACACCCCGGAAATATCCCTCCAGGCTCCTTAGCATCCCCCAGGGCAGGTGCAAATCCTTCCTGTCCTCCCTCAGGCCAAATCAGCCAAAGATTTCAAAGTCTTTGGTTCTTAGATGGCCAGGTCTGCAAGTACTTCCCTGTTGAGTTCCACCTGGCACTTCAAAGTTGGCAGTAAACACGGAGCACTTCAGGCCATGTTCATGGGAGGCAGCCATGATTCAGTTAATCCAAAGGCTCCTCAGTTTCCACTTCAGCCTGTGGGCCCAGATGCATTTCACAAAAGCCCTGGTGACAACCCTGATGGCCAGCCAGTAGCTTTGGTTCTTCCTCCCCCAAGAGTGCCCTGCAAGCTTGAGCTCCTGCTGGATCCAAAAGTAGTGGTTGGTGACGTGGTTTTGCAGCCTGAGCCACATCATAAGGAAGATGATGGTGAGGTGTCTGCACCTGCCTGTGGCTATGAGTGCTTCCGGGTCAGTGTCTCATCTCTGGCTCTTTATTTTTGGGTTTTTTTGTTTGTTTGTTTTTTGGTGCTGGGGATAGAACTCGGGACCTTGCGCTTTCAGGGCAGGCAGCGGCACCACTGAGCTAAATCCCCGCCCTCTATGGCTCTTTATTTTGAGACAGGGTCTTGCTAGATTGCCCAAGCTGTGCTGCAACTAGAGATCCTTCTGCCTCAGCCTTCCAAAGTGCTGGGATTACCAGTGTGCATCATCATGCCTGGCTAATGGGCTCAGTTTTAACATCAAGAGCTATGGGATGAAAGTGCAGGGTCCCAGAGTTCGATCCCTGGTACCAAAAAAAAAAAAAAGCTATGGGAAAAGTGAGTTCCCACTGCCTTCAGAACCCTAATCAGCCAGTGTGGTGTGCATACCTGATTCGAGGTACAGTCAAACCTTGGGTTTCAAGTAACTTGTTTTGTGAGTGTTTTGCAAGATAAGCAAACATTTCTAACAAATTTTAACTTGATAAACAACTGATGTCTTGCAGTATGAGTAGTACCTGACACCAAAGGTCACATGATCACACCTGAGCCAGTGGTTCCATCCTCCTTCCTCCCCATTGCACACACACGCGCCACGCAATTGTGGGTGATTGTGCTTCGGGGTTGTGCTCAATCCTCAGTCTCAGGCTGCAGTGTTTGGCAGAAATCAGTGATTTTCCAGAATGTTGGAAGGTGCCCACAACTGGCACTAGTGTATTTTTTTTACTTCACAGCACCAGTGGGGCCAGGGAGCTTAGTGGCACCGCACCTACCTTGCAAGTGCAAAGTCCTGAGTTTGATCCCTGGTACCAAAAAGGAAAAAAGAAAGCACCTATGGACAGTCCTTTGCTTTTCCATACAAGAGTGATTTCAGGAGCTAGGTTTGGTGGTGCACACTTGTAATCCCAGCACACAGGAGGCTGAAGCAGGAGGATCACTGCAAGTTTGAGGCCAGCCTAGGCTACATAGACCCTGTCTCAAAAAAAAAAAAAAAATTAAAAGTGTAAGCGTAGGAATGCTTTGCTTCATTTTAGGTCAGACTGCCTGCAGATACCCTTTGCTGCCTTATTGCCAGTTACATTAAATACAGTATATGACAACAGTTTAATACTGTGCTGTAGTCAACATCCATGTGAGCAGGTACAATGGCCCATGTGCAGAAAAAGGTCAAAAAAAGAGGCAGTAAGAAGGAGATGGTTATGGTGGAAGTTAAGAAAATCATCAAGAAGTACAATCAGAAATTGCACGCTCTTATAAGAAGTCTATGTTGACCATTTGTACAATATTAAAGAAGAAATAAAGGAGCTAGATGCAGCAAAAGGAGTGACGAGACTATGAAAAGCATCAGCCACATATTCTGGAAGATGTAGAGAAGTTGCTTTTGGTTTGGATAAACAAGAAGCAAATAGTGGGTGACCCTGGCGGAGAACTATCTGTGAGACTCCAAAGGCAGTGTAAGTAGCCTGCCAGGTACAGGAACAGAAAACAAGGCTTCCAGGCATTCAGGGGATGGTCTTATGATGTTAAGAGAAGTGGCTTCCATAGCATTGTGAGGCATGGAGAGGCTGTGAGTTTGGACACTAAGGCAGTTGAGGCATCCACTCCCGAGTTGTAGAAGCTCCTTGTTTCCAAGTGTTACCTGCTGGAGCAAACTTTTTTTTTTTGGTACTGGGGCTCAAACTGGGGTTCTTGCGCTTGCGCTTGCGCAGCAGGCGGCAAAACCACTGAGATAAATCCTCAGCCCTGGAGCAAATTTTTAACTGCAATGAGATGGGCTTTTTTGGAAAGATGCCAAAGAGGACCTACATTACAGAAGAGAATGCAATGCCTGGTCACGTGCACACGAAAGACCATCTCACCCTCTTGTGCTAATGCAAGCAGGGATTTCAGAGTCAAGTCCCTGCCTCTGTATCATTCCAAGGTCCGCCAGGCTTCAAGAATGCAAGGTGCGGAAGAGCTAGTTAAAAAGTTGTGTGGGTCCAACAGCAAGGCTTGGGTTGCTTGTATCTTCTGCAATGAGTGGATCACCAAGGACTTCATTCCTGCAGTGAAAAAAAACCTTTTAGAAAAGAGTCTACCGCTCAGTCTTGCTGGTTATGGATATGCACCTACTCATCCTCCAGGCTTTGAGGACAACTTACTGGAGGAATTCAGGTTCAGTAAGGCCCCCACACTACTCCAGTCCTCCAGCCCATGGATCAGCAGGTCACTTGAACTTCACAAAGCCTTACATCAAAGCCCTGTTTCAGCAATGCTTCCAGGAGACCAAAGGAGCAAATCTTCCCCTTTGAGAGCTCTGGAAAAATCATTTCTACATCATAAAATGCCTCAAGATCATCAGTAAAGAAGACCCCTGGGATGGGGTCAGCAGGAGAACCCTTCTGCTTGGAGAAAACCTTGGCCTGATTGTGTTTTTGTACATGATGTAGAGGTCCTTGCTCATAAATGGGACCCACCAGTTGTCAATGAAATTGTTTCCTTGGAAAAGACCATGGGACTGGAGATGAATGAGGATGATGTCCAAGAGCTGGAAGAGGAGTAATCTCAACATTGAGGCAGGCAGATCGCCATGAATTTGAGGCCAGCCTGGGCTACATAGTGAGACCTTGTCATTAAAAAAAAAAAAAAAAAAAAAAGCTGGTGGAGGAATGTGGCTGGGAGCTAACCATCAGTGAAGGGATAGATCTGCATGGCAAACAACAGCAAGAGGTTACAGAGGAGATCTGGTCTTCGGAGGCTGAATAGTAAAGCGGAGGAATCCCTCACTTGAAGTAAGATTAGGGAGACATGGAAAATGTGGGAAACTGCAAAATTTTGTAGAAAAGCCCTACCCAAATAAGGCTGCAGCAATTCGACCAGTAAATCTGTTTAATGATAATCCAATGGCACATTTCCACGAAATCCTCAAAAGGAGCCAAAAGCAAGTGTCACTGGATAGGTTCTTCGTTAAAGTTGCATGAAAAGAGAGATTCCACTGAGCCAGTAGACAACAGTGATTCATTCCCTTAATGATAGTGAAAGTCCTCCTACACAATAACCCTCCTCTCTCCCTTGGGTCCCTCACACCAGCCACAAAGGTTTTCAAAGTAAGTGCAGGTTAATTTGTCTTTATATTTTGTATTTTCTTTATTATTTTGTATTACGGTATTGTAATCATTTTTAAATGAGTATCTCTGGGTCGTGGAGAGCAAATCATCTGAGTTTTTATTTCTTACAGGTTAATTCATTTTGATATACAAGTGTTTTGGGATCACAAACATTTTTCCAGAAGGAATTATGCTCACAAACCAAGGTTTTACTGTACTTGGGAGGCTGAAGCAGGAGGATCCCAAGTTCAAACCCAGCCTGGGCAATTTTTTGGGGGGGGTACCTGAGATCGAACTCGGGACCTTTCGGATGTGAGGCAGGTACTGGAACCACTGAGCTAAATCCCTGGCCCTAGCCTGGGCAAATTAGTGAGACCTTGCCTCAAAATAAAAAGGGCTGGGGTCTTAGCTCAGTGGTATGACACTTAGCACGTGCAACACCCTGGGCTCAATCCCCAGCAGCACACACACCATTAAAAGCACCTCAGACAGTTGAGGGTCCTCCAGGCCCCCAGGAAGAGTGTCCTACTGTAGCACAAGAATCTGAGCCCCTCCACCAAGCCTGGTGCCCTGACCCATTTCCCCAAGTCAGCCCCAGATAGTTTCTTAGAACCTGTGCCTGTCCCCTGGCCGTGTCGCTCATTAAGTCCTCACAGAGCTGGCATCTTCTGGCCAGAAGGGATTCCCAGCCATTATTCTCTTCACTGTGCCCCAGCCAGGGCGTATGGGGCCAGGACAGGAGCCTGTCCTACAGAAGGAGAACTCCACACTCACCAACCGCTGGGCTACACCATGAGTAAAAGTAAGGTGCTTTGGGCACCTCGCCTCGGCCTCCTAAGTGCTGTAAGCGACATCACTCCAATGGTTTCACCCCAGAGTTTCTCCCATTTAAGTCCGTGTGGGTCTTAGCATATTTACGAACTGTGCTGCCATCACAGCTGTCTAAGACCAAAACACTTACCACCTCGAGGGAAGCCCCGCCCCCTCCCCAGGCCCTGGCTCCCTCGAGTCCACTTCCTGTCTGTGGAGTCGCCTGGCCTGGGCGTTTCCTGTCCGTGGAGTCCACGCTGTGTGTCCCGTGTCTGGTGAATGTCCACACCATGGCGAGTGTCACAGCCTCGCTCCTGTCCTGGCCGAGGGAGGTTTTAGAGTGGGGATGACCTGGCTTTGGGCGCGGGGCCCCTCTGTTGAGCACTCCCGTCCAGGTTCCAGGATGGCCATGGAGCGGAACTGCGAGTCACAGTGGGCACCATGTTCGTGCTTTGGTATGGGGGCTGCTGTTTGCCTCACTGACGCTGGTTCACACCTCACCTGTTGGCCATCTAGACTCAGTACTGGTGACCACAGTGAGGCCTCAGGTGACTGCACAGCAGCCTCAGTCCCCTGGGTACGAGCCCTCTAGGGAGGGCAGGTAGCCTCCCTGCCGACCGGGCCTAGGACCCCTTCCCAGTGTGGGTCCCTTTCTACTGGGGGTCTGAGGTTGCGCGGCCAGGGGATTGGAGGGGCAGTGGCTCCTGGCCGAGCCCCGCGCCGACCAGTCTGCGCCCGCAGCCCCAGCGGGAAGAAGTTCCGAAGCAAGCCCCAGCTGGCGCGCTACCTGGGCGGCTCCATGGACCTGAGCACCTTCGACTTCCGCACGGGCAAGATGCTGATGAGCAAGATGAACAAGAGCCGCCAGCGCGTGCGCTACGACTCCTCCAACCAGGTCAAGGTGAGCGGGCTGGGTGACGTCAGTGGGCGGGATCATGGCCCAGGTGCGCAGGGGTCCGGGCAGGTCCCGCCTCAGCGGTCCCCAGGCGGCCATGGCGCGCACGCGGCCCCCGAGGCTCCCTGAGCCCCTGCTGTGCCCGCCCGAGCCCTTTCCCTTCACCCCCTACACTGGGCCTGGGTCGTTCGCCACTCATCCCAGGCCCAAGCCCGGTCTGTCCCCGAGGACCCCCGCCATCCCGGCCCGCCGCAGCGTCTTGTCTCCACAGGGCAAGCCCGACCTCAACACGGCGCTGCCGGTGCGGCAGACGGCGTCCATCTTCAAGCAGCCGGTGACCAAGATCACCAACCACCCCAGCAACAAGGTCAAGAGTGATCCACAGAAGGCTGTGGACCAGCCTCGGCAGGTGAGCCCCTGGGGTCTTGGGGTGCCTGGCTCGGTCACTCCTCAGGGCCCTTGTCCCCCAAGGGGCTTCCCTCCCCACCCAGTGTTCCCGGACACCAAGGCCGAGCCCCAAACCCCCGACCTCCAGGCCTGGGCCTTTCCTTCTGACAGGTCTCGAGTAGATGATAGTGTTTGTGGGCAGAGAGTTTAAAGGTGGTGCACTTGGGAGGCTGAGGCAGGAGAATCTGAAGCCAGCCTGGAGTACATAGACTGTCTCAAAAAATTCAGGAAAAACAAAAGATGATGCGGTGGGCTGGGGGTGCAGCTCACTAGCCCAGTGTGCAGGAGATCCTGGGTTCCACTCCCAGCACTGCCAAAAAAGAAAGTACAATACATAAATGCCCATAATCCCCCTTTTCAGAGCCATTTGTGATTTGCTCGTTGTGGACATTCAAGCCCCGCCTCTACACAGTGATCCCAGGGACTGGGGGCATGGAGGAGGGAGGAGGGTCCCCTCTACAGCAGCCTGGCTCACCCCTGCCACCCTTGTCTGGCCGCAGCTGTTCTGGGAGAAGAAGCTAAGCGGGCTGAGCGCCTTTGACATTGCGGAGGAGCTGGTCAGGACCATGGACCTGCCCAAGGGGCTGCAGGGTGAATAATGATTTTTTTTTTTTTTTGGTATCGGGGATTGAACTCGGGACCTTGCGCTTGACAGGCAGGCTGTGGAACCACTGAGCTAAATCCCCGGCCCATGCAGGGTGAATATTCATGCAGGCGGAGGGAGGGCTTGTGCCTGGGGCTTCTGGACCTTGGAGACTTGTGGGTGGAGTCATGATGTGCATTCTTGTTCCTGACCTTGGAGACCGGATCTGGATCTCCTGGGTGCCCAAGAGATAGGGGGTGGGGACTGGGGACCTTCAGGTGTGGAGAAAGGCCCACGGGGCTGGGGTTCGGTACCCTCCTGGCTGCCCAAGGCCTGCTGGGATGTTGGGTTTTGCTGCCACACTGAAGCCCCTGCAGGGCCCAAGGAGCCCAAGCTCCTGACTTCTCTGCTGGGTAGGTTATTACAGATATGATGAAATTTGGGGACAAGCCCAAGACCAAGTGGAAAGGCAAAGCACTGCCCCCGATGGTCACCCTGGGTGCTGAGTGCTTTGCTCACTGTGTCCCTGTGACCCCGCCGCCCTGGACTGTGTCTCGTGCCCTGTAGGGGTGGGCCCCGGCTGCACAGATGAGACCCTGCTCTCTGCCATCGCCAGTGCCCTGCACACCAGCACCATGCCAATCACAGGCCAGCTCTCGGCTGCCGTGGAGAAGAACCCTGGCGTGTGGCTGAACACCACGCAGCCCCTGTGCAAAGCCTTCATGGTGACCGATGAAGATATCAGGTAGCCTGCAGCCCTCCTGGGTTCCCCTCTGCCTGTGCCTCTTCCCAGCTCCTGTGACGCATGCATGTCTGCCAGTGCTGTTTGAAACACGTGGTCACTCAGGGTGCAGGCACCCAGTCCCCCCAGCCCCCTACTCCGAAGGCACATGCCGGACAGTGCTGACCACTGGGTGTTGGGTTGTCAGGCTCAGGGAGGCATCAGGTGGGAACTGGTGACTCAGGACAGTCCCAGGCCCTGGATTTGGGCAGGAGTGCCTGGGAAAGAAGCCCCTGGAAGCAGCCTTAGTGACCCAGTGTGGAGTTGACAGGGATCCCCTCATGCCCTGAACAGAAAGTATGGCCTCTTCACTGTGAGAGTGAAACAAGTTTGTGGCTAGGTCGGCTCTGGTGCCACCTCCTGCTTGGACGAGCTCCTGCAGGGGGCGGGGGTGCCATTCGGCCCCAGGAGAGGCGGCTCCAGGCAGTGCGGGTCCAGTGGAGGGGCTGGGCCTGTGGAAGGGGTGCTGTCTGAGCCCCACTGGCTTGGGGTGGGCCTGGGGCCAAGGTGTGTGCAGGCAGGGCCAGTACCTGTGTCCCCAGGATGCTCCCTGTGTCCCCAGGAAGCAAGAGGAGTTGGTGCAGCAGGTGCGGAAGCGGCTGGAGGAGGCACTGATGGCTGACATGCTGGCCCATGTGGAGGAGCTGGCTCGTGACGAGGCGCCCTTGGACAAGGCCTGCGGGGATGAGGAGGATGAGGAGGATGAGGAAGATGAGGAGGAGGAGCCCGAGCCAGACCCGGAGCTGGAGCGCGTCTAGAGCAGGTGCCAGAGTGGGTGGCATGGGTGTCCATGCCTGAGGACACAGCCGGGCTCTGGGTGCTGGCAGTGCCTCACCCAGACCTTGTCTCCCCAAAGAGCCTAATACCCCGTCCCCTGCCAAGGTGCTAATTGTCCTCTCCGCTCCTTTCCAGGTTCCCTGCCCAGAGCCCGTCCTCCTCTGCTCCGCCCACTGCACCTGGCCCTGCCGAACTGGGGCCAGGCTGGGTGGCCGTAGTTTGGAGGGGTCAGCTGGACCTCACCCTTCCTAGGTGCCCCTCCCCGGCCTCGGGGTGTGGTGGAGGTCACCACCCCATGGACCTGGGGACGGAGTGTGGCCAACTCAGGCCTGCAGGACAGGAGGCCACTCCATACAGGACTCAGGGCCGCTGCTCCCTGGCTGTGAGGCAGGACAGTGCCAGCGGGCTTGCCCATTACTCAGTGCCACAAGGCCTGCAGCTGTGGAGTTTCCACAGGCTGGAGAACGTTCTGGAAACAGTCTCACCCCAGCCCTGCAGTGAGGAACATGGTCCTGAGCCAGCAGGCCAGCCCTTTGGGACACCGTTGCCACAACCCTGCAGCCTCCAAGTGGGCAGAGTTGGTGACCCTTGGAAGGGGCCCTGGGCAGTGGCCCCCAGGAGGCTGATTTCTTTCAATAAATGGATGACACAAATGAGGCTGGCCCTTGGCATGACTGATCTTCGGTGTGAGCAGTGCCTTGGTTTCCTTTTGAACCCAGACTACCCTCAGCCTGGGTCCCCAGTGCTGATCCTCAGTTTCCCCTTCTTCGTGGTGGGGATGAGTTGCCCAGTATAGGGAGGAGCTGGTCAGAGTGCCCTAAGCCACAGGGACAGGATGTGACCGCAGTATGTTTCTTCTGGAGCCTCCAGTATGCCACTGTGCCCAGTGTGGGAGCGCTCAAGCCGACCGCTTGTTGCCCAGGCCCAAGGGTGAGGGCAGTCCCTGTGCCCAGGGAGGTCTGCCCTGAGTGGATGCTGGGCCCCTGGTGCTCAGCTGTTACTGTCACTGGCAGCAGACCTCAGGCCGATCCTGGCCCTGTTGGGGGAGCCCTTCTCAGTTGGGACTCACCCTGGAGGTCCCCCTATAAGCGCCTGGCCCCTGGAGGGCTGCATGCCAAGAGGGAGGAGAAGCTGGAGGGGTCGTCCACCTTGCTGGGCTTGGGTTCCTGTGGGAGGCTGCAGCCCTGAGGCCTGAAGACTAGACAGGCCTGAGGAAGTGGCAGCCATGTGTTTTGCTCAGGAGCAAGGCTTGAGACTCCAGTGCCTAATGAAAGGGATTTAAGCCAGGCATGGTGGCTTGAATCATCCCAGCACTCAGGAAGTTGAGGCAGGAGCAATGCCATGAGTTCGAGGCCAGCTTGGGCTACACAGTTTAAGGCCAGCCCAGAATATGTATCAAGACGCTGTCTCAAACGAGTGAGCAGTGAGTGGAGGGTCCCCACAGTCCAGCTGCAGAGGCCTCCAGACATGTTATCACTCGGCACAGCAGCAACAACAAGAGTCAGGCAGGTTTCCAGGCTATGGCCCTAGGGTCCCAGGTCACTCCTGGTCACCCACAGGGAGGGCAGCAATGACCTCCTGCCCAACACCTGTGGCCTAGGAGAAATGGAAGGGAGTTGTGGCCCTGAGCGACCCCTGCTGGGGCCCAGGAAGCTACAGCCCGGGGCTCCTCCCACACTCACCCTGACTGGACTGCCCAGCCCAGGGAAGCAACCCCAGAAACCAGGCTGAATGCTGTCCTGTCCCTCCCGCCTGCCTGGCTCATGGCTCCTGTCCCCACTCCAGGCCAAGAGAGGACTTGGTGGCCTGGGCCCCTCTCCTGACTCTGCCCACATAGGGGTCTCTGCCCAGCCCCGGCCCCTGAGAGGCCCCCAGGGAGTCAATGGCCTCAAAATATCTGTGGCTGTAACACAGGGCTGGTACCTCCTGTTCCTTGCAAGTCTCTGGCAGGGCAGCCTCAGTGGGCCCAGGTAACACCCTGGGGCCACAGTGGGCTCAGGGCATGGGGATAGAGCCTTGGCATGTCCCTGTGATGGGCCTGAGTGGGCAGAGGCCTCATACCACACTTGCCCCTGCCGAGCCAGGACCCTGCCTGTGACCAGCTGCTGGGCAGGGCAGCATCCCCTCAGCACTGCGGGCCACCACACCTCAGCCCTGCCCGGCCAGCACTGCCCTGCTGCAACCAGAGCCTCATGCCTCACAGGGTCACGTGCCCCAAGGGCAGTGACCGCTCCCCAATCTCCCCTGGTCCTCTACACCCAACCCTCAGCTTGGGGACTAAGACACAGCTGGGTGACATTGGCGTGCACACCAACTGCTACTCGGACCCTGGGACTCCCAGCACTCCCTGACACAGGACCCTGCTATACCTGCAGCCCCCATCCCAACAAGTGGGACCAGCTTTCCAACCACTGCACCGCCACCCCCCAGCCCCTCCAGGAGGTGCCTGCTTGCTGTAGATCCTCTGCCCCAGAATTTACCACAAACACCAGGTGCAGGTGGAAAGATCTGCTAGACTCTGTCATTTAGCCAAAGACCTTCAGGCTTTGGGTGGAAGGCAGGTCATCCTGGAAGATCCTGGATAACATGATCGGGGTTCAAGGCCAGCCTGGACCCTGTCTCAAAAAAAGGGCCAAGCAAAAAAGGTAAATTTTGATGTAAGAGAATTATATACACACAAAAAGATTTCAGGACTCAGGGAACCTGGCAGTTCTACACCGTCCCACAGCTTGGAGGGCGGTGGAGCCCCCAGCAGGCCAGAAGGGAGAACAGCCGCCGCATGTGCCCCGGAAGGATGCTGGGAGCCTGTGAAACGCAGTGGTCTCCACAAGAGGCCTCCAGCTTCGGATCCCAGAGTTCTGGAGGACTCTGCCGCTGGGATGCGGAGGAGTGATGTGAGGCTGGAACCCGGAGGGGAGGGGCTGTCGCCCTCACACTTCCGGGTCCAGGGCAGAGGGGCCAAAGGGAAGGTATGAGAAATAATCCCAAATGCACTGGGTGTGGGGCACATGATTATCATTCCAGCACTCTGGGAGGCTGAGGCAGGAGGATCACAAGTTCAAATCCAACCTGGGCAATTTAGCAATTCAGCAAGACCCTGTTTCAAAAAGAGCTGCAGGGCCAGGGATTTAGCTCAGTAGTTTCGCTGCCTGCTGCGCAAGCGCAAGGATTCGAGTTCAATCCCTGGTACCAAAAAAACACAAAACAAAACCAAAAAAAGGACTGGAGATGGAGCTCAGTGTGAAGGTCCTCAGTTTAATCCCCAGTCCTGAAAAAAGAAAAGGAAAATAAAGAGAGACCCCCAAGAAGGGAAATGAGGCCGGATGTAACTCATGGGGCAGTGTCAGGATGGATATTTTAGGATGGGCTTGGCCCTGGGCAGAGAAACCAACACAGGAGGTGTGAGGACTCTTGTGACCATTAATCCTGCCGTGTCAACTTGATTGGGTTAAGAAACACCTAGCAGAAGCCAGGTGTGGTGGCACACATACACTACTCCTGGTTGTGTCCTACTGGGACATGGAGCATGACATCGGGTGCTGTCTATTGACCCTGAACCTTTTGGCTCTGGTGCTGGTTTCCTTCTCTGCTTCTGGGTGCCATGAACATAACCATCTTTTTTTTTTTTTTTTTTTGGTACCAGGGATTGAACTCGGATCCTTCCACTTGCAAGGGAGGCGGTGGAATCACTGAGCTAAATCCCCGGCCCGAACATAACCATCTTTCCTCCACTACACCCTTCCACCATGAAGCTTCTGTCCAGGAGCCACCGACCATGGGCTGAATCCCCTGAAACTGTGAGCCAAATTAACCTCTTGTCCTACAAGCTGTGTCCCAGCCATGGGAGAGCTGGCTGATACAATCTGTGCAGGACTCTTGGGTAGAGAGAAGGGACTGGATACATCAATGGTAAGTCCAGGGTGGGTGGCTGTGGCTGACATCCCAGATGGAGTGAGGGGTGGGAGCCCAGAACTGGTGAGACTGGCAGGATAGATGAGAGAGGAAAGCCACCTCCTCCTGTCCAGAGACAGCATATAATTGGTCTGAGGTTGCTCAGCCAACCAGCGTCAGGTACACTCTACTCCCCACCTGCAAAGGGCCTTCGGGGTAGCTTTGGAGTGGAACCTAGGTCCCTTCCCTTGTACCCCAGAAGGCAGTGGGAACTTGTACACCTCAAGAAGCACCTCCATGAAGATGTTTCCGGTTCCAGGTACATGGTTCCAGGTACATGGCCCCCATTTCCAAGTAGGGGCTGCAGGAAAGGAGCCCTGACTTTATTTATTATTTATTTTTGGTACTGAGGATCGAACTTGGGATCTTGAGCTTGCAAGGCAGGTGTCGGAACCACTGAGCTAAATCCCTGGCCCATCGCTTTATTTTTGTTTTTTGAAACTCGGTCTCACTCTGAAGTTCAGGCTGGCCTTAAATTCACTGTGTAGACCAGGATGGAGGCTGAACTTGTGACAGTCCTCCTGCCTCAGCCTCCTGAGTGTTGGGATGACAGGTGTGCACCACCACTCCAGGCTTGGGGGCCAGACTTTAAAATCCAGCAAGATCATGACATGCTCTCCTCCACAGGAACCCCAGCCCCAAGGTGCTCAAGGAGGGGTTCCCAGGTTTATGAAGGGCAGGGCGGGGGAAGCATGGGCATAACCATGAGGGGGACCCCAAGCACCAAAAGTCCCTAGCACAGGAGGGTAGAGTCGGTGTCCAGCGGGACCGGGAGGAGGTTCAGACAGCGGGATCCCCAGGTCCAATGAGCTAAAAGAGGGAGTCCTCGACTCAGTGGGGAGGGGCTGGTTGACGAGCGGGCGGGATCGCGAGGGAGTAGGGGCTTGCTGGACTTCGGAGTCAGGCCCCCTCTCCCACCCGCCTCAGCACCTACTTCGAAGTGTGTGTGGGGGACTCGTCACCCTCTTCTTGGCAGAGGCTCGCCAGGTCCCCCGACTGCACAGTATGGAGGTGGGGTCCCGGCACCAAGGAATATGGGTGGGGTGGGGGTGGGGTAGGGGAAGGTGCTGGTCTCGGAAGCCATCCGTGTTCGGACAGAGACCGCGAGTCCAAGACGCTCAAAGGAGGTTCCTCCCTGGGGGATGCAGGGGCTCGATTGCTCGGGGCGCTCAGGGAGGGAAACCCCAGGTGCTCAGGGAGCAGACACTGGGGAGGGGGAGTCCTAGCTCCGGGAGCCCCGCACCACCCACCCGCGCGGCTCTAGCACGTGCGAACGCGCAGGATCCGCGCCCACGGTGGTGGTGGTGGTGGCGGCGGTGGTGGTGGCGGTGGTGGTGGCGGCGGCGGCGGCGGCGGACGACCACGTGACCTCGGCCCCGCCCCAGGCCAGCCTGCGCGTGCGCGCTGTGGGCGCCCATTGTTGGCGGTGACGTCGTGGGGCGGGGCCGGGGCGGGGC